CATCCATAAATATAAAGCACACCACAGGATGATTTGGGTTAGTTTTGTTTAATGTAAGTGTATTACAGCAATTCCTCAAACTCTATCATCCTCTTGCCAATTTCAAGCCTCTTATAATCTTGCAGAAGGAAGGGCATCCAACTTAGAACCTATTCCAAATCAATCTGCAAATTACGACCGCATATTAGAAGTTTTACAATGAAGCAAAGAAGATAGATCTATTGAAACTTCTTCTTCCAATTTACTTGCAGGGTTTACTATTCAAAAAGTCTCAAAGTCTCTCTTGCATCTTAATTTAAAAAACAGCAGACCTCGTTAGAGTCACGATAATTACTATATCGATTTATCAATCAGTATATGAAAGCTGGACCAATATATTTTGAGGATCAGTAGTTATCATGTGTTTTTGCAATACTGGAAATTTTTTAATTCTTTGTTGGCTATGCAATAAGATTTGACATGCAGAATGTTAAATACATAACTTCTATGACTCATTACAGATGCAAACTAAGTACTAAAATGTGTAATTCTAAGAAGTTTAGAAATGTGTTCTGTGGTTTAAAGGTGCATTGTGTAACTTTCCTGGTGGAGGGTCTATCAAATACTTTTCTCCATTGAGATGTCATAGCTTTGTCTTGAAGTTTCTACCTTCATGGAGACCAAACCAGATCAAGTTACAGGGTCAGATCTGTGGAGAAGCAACCCTGCTCACAGTCAGAATGCCTGTTTTTCTAGGGATTTATTAGCTATAAAACCACCTGTAATTTAATAAATATAAGGTAGAGCTGTTTAATGTCATACTGTGGAACATTTGAGGCAGAGCAATGACATATCCATAAACAAGCAGGTGAAAAGTTGCATAGTGCACCTTTAAATCTTCTATATTTACTTCTGCAATATATCACACTTGAAATGTTGTTATTGTGAAAGGACAAATAAACAGCAGCATAAGAAACGACATGTCAGTTTAAACAAGTTATTATGACCACGCGTCGTGACCTTACATGAGTCAATTACGGCCCAAATGAACACTCCAGGCTCGGTTTGTCTTTGAAGTAGGCACATAAGCATTCTACATCACTCCTGCTGGGCCACTGTAGGCCCTGATCACTTCACTGACCTCAGGATACTGCAGTTCATTAGCATTTTCTTTGCTCCATGCATACAAAACACAATTTCAACTGCACCCATACCGTGTTAGAAAATGCAGATAATCATAAATTAAATATACAGTGAGGTGTATGGGGTATGGTTTTACTATGCTGAACAGGTAAGCTTTGAAGCATCAAGATATAGATAATGAATGAGTGAACCAAAGCTGGATATAAGTGCCCAAGGTGAAGTTATTTTGTCTATCCCTGCTTGAGAACTAGATATACTAAAGTCAAAACATAGATAGATAGCATTTAACTAAATAAATAATATCCACAGTGTTGTAAATGATAGATTATGGGTAAGGTGTAATGTTAAGGGGCCCATATTGAACTGTTTTCTGATATACTCTATGTTTTAATGTTGTTTCCTCATCACAAATATCTGCTGGAGCTGTGTTTTGTTCCATTAACACACAAACTATTCATATTTACGCTGAGTTCTTCTCTCATGTCATAATACATAAAGCGTTCCTCTGTGTTTTTAAATTCCATATGCCTTCACTAGCGTCATATGGATAATTTCAGCCCTGGACGTGCCAATCTTGACTGAATTAAAGGTAAAAGGTAGCTGTTAACGTGAAAACTACCATTACATGACATCACAAGGTGGACTATTTTGAGCTTTGTAGACAAACGAATAATAAAGAGTTACTCAAAAATGGATGAATGAAACAAAACTCAGTTTCAGGTATGTTTTTTGATAAAATAGAAACATTATAACATGACTTAAAGCTCACAAGAGTTAATTTTAAGTAATGTAGGACCTTTAAATGTGTATTCTACTAGACAAAATTAAGTCTTAGTTGTCTGAACAGTAAAATTTCCAAAAAATAAGAGTCAAGTTGAGGTAGCAAGTTCACTCCTGAGTCGTGTCACAAGTAGAATAGACAAACGCATGGTAGAGAGATTTGTGAGTTAATGTAGGTTAATCCGACGCTTTTAAGAGTTCAAGATACTCCACAAACTGCATTGCTTCTCCATGTGACTGGATTGGCTACGACTTCTGTGCCAGTGGGTCACTTTCTTCGCGCATATTCCAAGTTGCTGAGTCAAAATTACGCATACAATAATTTCCGACAAACATAGAAAACTTAACTTAAAGTGAAAACTGTTCTAACCATGAGTATGTAGGTTGTAAACCTGCGATGATATTACAGAGGAAACAGCCATCCTTGCGCCAGCCAGGAGTACGCAAACCTTCTATATTTTGGTGGAGCGCACGAATAACGTCAAAAACATGTTATTACTTACAGTGTCTAGGTTGTGGTCACTTCCAAGTGGTTTGTGAAGGCTTTCCCGCTGAGTTGAAGAGTTGGTAATCGATATATAGTCCTCTGGTGGTAGTTAGGGGGCTGGGAATAGCGGTATATGGTCTTTTTTCGTTCCCGTCTATCCCACTCTCTGCGCTCGGCTGTTCCTGCTTCCCTTCCTCTCTCTCTCTCCACATCCAGCATTCCAATATGGCCGCCCCTTCGGTCCACACAGAGCAGAGCCAGAGCGCACACACCGGACACACCGCAGAGAGCTCCCGGAGAGAGGAGGTCTGCCCCGGGCACAGCCGACCAAGCACCAGTCATGAATGAATAAGTGTGGGTACTTTACAGGGTGTTATTTGAGAGTTTTAAAGGGAGGTGGTTCCAGTCTTTAGATTCTTTTAGATTCACTAATGTAGCCTAAAATGTTTCTTCTTTGAAGCCTGGCTCCGTTAGGCTTTTTGAAGTTTTGTCGCTTCTTTGGTTATTAAACCTGTACACTACACTGGCTCTTTGATGTTGTCTTGTTGTTGTATATGTGTAAAGAGTTGGCCAAATAAGCTGAATACTAATGTTAATATAAAATTTGATATTGTAGACAATATTACTTAAGTTGAGATTTCTGTTTGAAACTGAAATCACTCCACATTACTCCACTTGATCGTAATAAACAGCTCTGATGCGACATCTGGCGGTGCGCGCCTCTCATTGCGAGTAACACAGGAGCAAGTGGATGATAAGATAAGGATTTGCGGTAATTACGGTTAGTGTAACTGTAACACACAATGCTACTTAAATGTAGGTCAAGATTTACCGTATACTGCGCTGTAATGAGTTCAAAACAGGGCATTGTCCTGCCGTGACCCGGATTCGAACCGGGGTTGCTGCGGCCACAACGCAGAGTACTAACCACTATACGATCACGGCGCGCCACTGACCCATGAAAAGTCTGTCTTAGCTCCAGAAGGTCCATCGTTTTTATGCATCAATACAAAGATTATAAGATTTCAAAATCAGATTTTCATCCCCAGTTCTCCCGATTTGGTCGTCAGTTAACCTCCAACTTTACACCCAACCTATTCTTCAGCAGCAGTTGACTACAGATGTAATCAGATGTAATGTAGAGGTCATGGTGCAGAGGACCCTGGGTTGAAATGACTCTGAATCATCCCTTTAAATGCGGTATAAAAATAAAAATGACTTGAATTACTTTCATTTTGAGAAACATCTTAGAAATAATAACTTAAAAAATTAAATTAAATAAATAATACATTTAAAAAACAGGGCTGAGGGAACATAGGGCTGACCCCATTGTGTGCATGACTTGTACATGAGGATTTGTGGAAAAGAACCTGGTTGAGTGGCCAGTTTTACAGTGATATGAATACTTTGAGACATTTTGATATGCTGAGTTCTCAACTTCTGTGGTAACATAACTTTTTGGGATACCACGGCCTTAATTTTTTAATTGTCCCATCAAAATTGTCCTCGATGCCGTGACCCGGATTCGAACCGGGGTTGCTGCGGCCACAACGCAGAGTACTAACCACTATACGATCACGGCTCGCTTATCATGCTGTTTTATCTCCAAAAGGTCCATCAATTTTATGCATCAACACAAAGATGAGAAGATTTCGGGATGACATTTACACATTATTTTATTAATCTTCAAAGAAACAATTTTAAAACCTGAAGATTTTTTGACCAGTATGCATCATCCTGTTGAGAATGTTTGTGACATAACCCTGTGTTCCCTCAGCCTTATGTTCCCTCATTTCCTTTACCATCAATTTGCATCAGATTTTATCCCCATTTTTCCCAGTTTGGTAGTCAATTACACCCAACCTATTATACAGCAGCAGTTGACTACAGATGTAATGTAGAAGTCATGGTGCAAAGGACCCTAGGTTAAAATGACTCTGAATCATCCCTAGAGTTTCATTTTGATAAAAATCTCAGAAATAAGAAAAATCTTAGAAATGAGGGAACATAGAGCTGACTCAATTGTGTGTATGGTTTTTACATGAGGATTTGTGGCCTATTTTATGGATAGTGGCATGATTGTTTTGAAACATTTTGATATTCTGAGTTCTCAGCTTCTATCGTAACGTAACTCTCTGGGATACACGCGATACGTTTTGATAGTACGTATTAATTTTTTACTTGTCCTATCAAAATAGTCCCCTTCTAAATGCCGTGACCCGGATTCGAACCGGGGTTGCTGCGGCCACAACGCAGAGTACTAACCACTATACGATCACGGCTCGCCACTGGACAACATGTTTACACTTGGACTTCAGTACAGTGGTAGTCTGATTAAAAATGTGGTTAGAAAGTTGTTTTTTTTTGGCTTAACACATGCAACACTTATATATTGTCTTCTAAATATGCTATTCGCCTGTGCGTAAACAAAACATGGATGTAGGCTTTTAACGCAACATGGACTCTAAACCTCCACGCCTCATACGTGAACGAGTCCATCACCTAAAAAGCGACAGGTGGGGATATTGGCTTCCTAATCTTGCCCTGCATATAACAAGTATTTTAAGTTGAAATCCACTCCACCGGAAGTACAGCTGACGAAGCCGCTGCGCTAAACTTGAGCCAAACTTTACTCCCAGTGCGCCAGTCTGTTACATTGAATCACATCGCGCTCCCAGCTGGACAAACATCAAACTTTTGCGCGTTTTCTCACTTTATTAACGGACCCATTTACACGAGGATTTACCGATGACAATTTATATCCTCTGTACGGTGGAGGTGGATCAGTAAAACCAGGTCAGTGTTAAATTTGAACTTTATAATGTCAACAATCGCGCTTGATCGTTCATAACCACTCCTGATTCATGTTGGTGAAACTTTAACTCTGATGGTTTATTTTTTGCCTCCTGAAGCCTCCTGGGCACGTGTCACTGTAAGCCTAGTTATTGCCAATGTGCGCTGGTGCAGGTAAACCACGTCCAGTTTCATATCGCTGCAGTGACACGTTCTTTGTTTTGCACAGAATGAAACAAATCTATTATCAGCAAACCGCGTTGAAGTGCGTTGATATACAGATCTGGTAACAGGCTACAGTGAGGCTATTGTGTTCAAATAAAGGTAATCTGAACAACTGACATATTTTCATCTATTGCAGAACTATGAGCCAGACGCAATTTCCCTTTGCAGAACTTTGCATGTCAACCACTTTTGTGTTGTAACCTATTCTTCTGCCACATGTGTTTTCAGTTGTCTTGCCAGCTACTTGAAATAGTTTCTGCGTTTATCTAAGTTCCCTTTGTGAAAACTATGAAGTCAGACCTGTTTTAAAGCACGTCAATTACAGCAACACGTTTTGTCCATTCCTTGTGTGCTGTGAGCTGCATGGATTCTTAATTAATACTTTGGGAAAATATGCAGTTGAATATTAAAATAGAGAAATAATCCACAGTATTGGTTAGTGTGTCACAATCAAAACTGAGCAATCAAGACCAAACCAAGGCTACAACATGGTAATAGAAACTAATTTGAGCAAAAATCTTAAAGGTGCACTATGTGACCGGCTTGTTTCTATAGATCTGTTGTTGCAGTGTGACATTAAACAGCTCTAACTTACATTTATTCAGTTACAAGTGGTTTTATAGCTTCAAAAAGTTGCCTCTCCACAGGTTTAATCTGCAATTTGTTCTGGTTTGGTCTCCATGAAGATAAAAAGTTTTAATACCATATTGTGAAACATTCCAGGTAAAGCAATAATTGATGTACTTTTCTTCATAAAAGCTACACAGTGCACCTTTGACTAGCCCAAATATTTGATTGGGAAAGGTTTTTGCTTTTATTTTCAAACCAGTGTCATACATCTATATTCATTTCCATGTGCAAGTCTTACTGCAAAACACATGCATGACTAGCACTGCTTACAGCCGTAACAAAGTGTAGTGGTTTAGTTAATGAGCAGCTCACGGAAAAAGCTTGACAAAAATAGGAGAGTTTAGGGGGAATGGACTGCTTTTATGTGTCTTTGTGAGTTTGTTGCACAGCAGGGACGGAGGTGAGCTGCCGGAAAAACCTGGGGACTTGTAAAGATGAGTTACTAGTTAAAGGTGCACTATGTAACTTCTAAGGTGGAGGGTCCGCTCCTTGCTTGGCTCCATAATGTTCCATAGTAAGGCATTAAACAGATCTCCTTTGTATTTGTTCAAATATAGATGTTTTATTGCTCAAAAATACCTCCAAAAAACATTAATTCTTACATGTGTTTTCAGGCTTGCTTCTCCATAGATCTGACCGTTAACCTGTCTCCATTGTTTATTTTTCATTCATAAGTTTATTTTCATACTGCAGAATAATCAAGGCAAAACAGTGATATCTCAGTGGAGACAACTACCAGAAAAGTTACACAATGCACCTTTAAGAGAGGCAAGACAAAAGACAGAAATAAGTCTTAATAAGTATGATTGAAAATAGTTTTTTTCTTGGTATTGGTCTGAAACAGTAATATAATAACTAATATATTAGTCAGATGTTGATTCATATCACTTGATTGCAAAGATCTGAATAAAAGAATGTGTTTATACATAAGTCTAAATGCAGATTTATTGTTAATAATATTGGTTTAATCTTACATCTCATAGCTGTTCCCAGAAAGCTTTATCTCGAATAATGAAAGTAACAGGTATCGCCCGCTGAGTTGACAGTTTTCAGTTTATTGTGATGCTGTTTTTGTGACTTAGTTGTGACTACATGTCTTTTTAATTCTGTTTTTAACATTTATCCATGTATAAAGAATGATTAAAGTTCCTTTATTACACAAAATGGATTCTCGTGAGCTTTAAGTCATGTCATAATGTTGTTATCTCATCAAAAACATACCTGGAGTCCTGTTTTGTTTCATTCTCACATGTGTGAGTAATCCTTTTATTATTAGTCTGTCTATATCTCCAAAGGTCAGGATGTGCTGTTCCACATTGTGATGTCATGTAATGGTAGTTTTCAAGTTAGCAACTCCTTTTACATTTAGTTCAGTCGACATTGGCAATTCCAGGGCTGCAATGAATGAATGAAGGTGTATGAAGGTTAAAAAAAATATTGGAGTTCTGTATTAAGTGTGCATTAACAGTGTTTTCTATTTGAGAGAAGAACTCAGCGTAAATATGCAGGATTTATATGTTAAACATGTGTGAATGAAACAAAACACAAATCCAGGTATGTTTGTGATGAGAAAACATGATCAACAGATCAAAAATAGCGCAATACAGGCTCTTTAAAGTACATTTGTAAGGTACTTTTGGGACGGAGTCTACATGGAGTAACTCTGGTGTGCACTTGGATTACTATGGTCCCCCAATTGAAAAACATGACCCACTTTTGACCCACTGTCCCATATGGTCTGCCAGACACAAGGGCACAGACAGGAGCTCAAACAGTCCCTTTAAAGGTGCACTGTGTAGCTTTTTGTTTGGGTGTCCGTCACCTACCCGTTTCTATGGATACATCTTTGCACTGCCTGGAATGTTCCACAGTATGACATTAAACAGTTCTTCCTTACATTTATTAAATTGCATTTGGTTTTACTGCTCGAAAAACAAGCATTCTGGGTGAGCAGGGTCGCCTCTTCACGGATCTGACCTGTAACTGATCTACTTAAGGTCTTCATAAGGACAGAAAGGTTAAATACCATACTGTGAAACATTCCAGACAAAGCAATTACAGTAAAGCCTTTGACAGATCCTCCACCAGAAAAGTTACACAATGCACCTTTAATATGAATCTAAGATGAGATGACTGTACTCATGTGGGCTGTTATACTCACTGTTGCAATAGCTCTGCGTGACCACACCAGTTTTACAAGCTAATACTGTGCTGGCCCTCATTTCCTGTATGCTTACTGTTACTTTGATGACTTACTGTTCAGACTAATAAAGTTTTGGTCGGCAGGATGCAGTAGCTGTTTTTTTCTGTGCACCAGTGAAGCGTTTAGTTTTCAGTTACATTTTTGACAATATTACCTACCTTGGCATAAAATTTACCTAAAGCAGCGATAAAGCAGAAGTACTGACCAAAACAGAGCACACCAAAAGCAGGTCGCACTCAGGAATGTTCTCCAGTTTATTAAAGGTCCTATATTTCACCAAATTGATTGATTTTAGCCATGTATCTCCACTGGTATCACCACAAAAACATACCTGGAGTTGTTTTGTTTCATTCACACATGTTTGAGCAATCCTTTATTCTATGTCTGTCTACATCTCTAAAGTTCAAAATGCACTGTTCCACCTTGTGATGTCATGTAGTGGTAGTTTTTAGGTTAACAGCTACTGAGTGTTTTCTGTTTAAAAAAAACAGCCTAAATATGCAGGGTTTGTGCGTTAAACATGTGTGACTGAAACGAAAAACAACTCCAGTTATGTTTGTGATGAGGAAACAACATTATAACATAGATCAGACAATAGTGTAATATGTACCCTTTTAAAATAGGCTTTTGCACTACTATGTTAGACCACTTTGAGCATTTTAAAGGTGCACTGTGTAACTTTTCTGGAGAGGGTCTGCAACCAGTGTGTCTCCATGGAGATGTTAATACTTTGGGTTACATTCTCCACAGTATAGTATTGAAATAATCTGTCTTGCATTTATTATTTATAGCTCAAAAATATCTTAAAAAGTGTTCATTCTTACTGTAATTAGGGATGTAGCAATAACTAAAATATCATATCGTATTGTCCAAGGTCTCACAATAATAATAATGGACCATCAAAATATCTCGAATTACAAGTCTCTTCACTTAAATTAATAGTTATGGTGCAGCAATAGCTAAAAAAAAAAAAAAAAGAGGGAACTACATAGACCATGTTCCTTTGCTCCATTACAGTGCAGACAACATGAAGAACTGTTGGATTTAGTCATTTTAAGGCATTTTAAGAGGAAAAAGTAGCATATTAACAGTTTTGTTAACATCCACAAAATGTTCCAATAAATATCGTACTGTGAGATGTATATCAAGAAACTATTGTACCGAGAGATTTGAATATTGTTACATCCTTAATTGTAATGACCAAGTTATGAATTTAGGGTACGTTCAAACTTATAAACACACAACAACAAAACTGGGACTTAACTCGAATAAACCTGGACCAGACCAGAACAAAATCAGGTCTAGAACTGGACCAAAACAAATCTGCATAAGGACTCAAACTACGGCTCAAACCAGGGCCAAACTAGGCCAAGTGCAGACTTGACCTAATATGGGATATTGAGAAATAGCGGGTTGAATGTAGGACATGATCTAATGGTTCCTGTAAGGTTATCTTCAGTCATATGTTAGTTTATTGTCATTTGCATTAGAGCTGTGCACTTGTAAATGAGTCACTAAGAAAAAAATCATCGTTTTATAATGCTTTCCTGGTTCTGTTCCTGATTATTTGAGTGAAGTTTTCCTTTTGGCTTGTCCCTACAGGTTGGGTAACATCAGATAGTCATCATCTGTTTGCGGCATCTTGCAAAAAATTCAAAACTAAATGTGGTTTTACATCTGTTACACCCAAATTGTGGAATTCTCCTCCCCTGATCTGAGATGAGTTAGTCGCTTCACAAAGAGCGCAAAATCTCACTTTATTGACAGGCTTTTGCTTTTATATTTACATATTACACATTATTTTGTTGTGGTATTGTATTTAATAAACTTTTTTTTGCATCGGTTTTATTTAATATATTCCTGTAACTCAAAAACACTTCACAAAAAAAGACAGGGCAGACAAAACAAGTAGCGAGGAGTCATTTGTGGGGGTTGTAGACTATGAGGAAAAGATGAGTTTTGAGCTTTTTTTTTTTTTTTTTTTTTTTTTTTTGGAAGGTGTTTATTGACTGATGTAGAGGGGAAGTTGCAGAAGGTGGGGGTAGTCTCCCAAGGGCTGGTGTTTTCAGAGGTGGTGGGAAGGCGGTGGAGCTTGACAAGATCTGTGAGGTATGGAGGGTTTTATAGGTGATCAGGAGAATGTTGAAATTACTGTGCTTTTGGATGTGGAGCCAGAGGAGTCATAAATTAGCTTTGAATCTATTTACTTTACTATGTAGTACTGTGGTGTAGTAGTATTGACGTTTGTACCAACCTATAAATGCATGCATATTTTTGTTATAGGGAGTGTGTGATGGAGCTTCCGTCTGGACTCCTGGAGGCCTGTGTGGTGGTGGGAGCCTCCAGTGATAAACTCCGGGACATTTACCAGGTAAAACAGTACACATTTGCATTTCTATTTAAATACGGATAACATATTCACATACGGAAACATATTCATAAGGAGGGCTGAAGGCTGGTGGTCTAAACCAGCGCTGGGAACAAGTCATTATTTTGCAAGTCTCAAGTAAGTCTCAAGTCTTTGACCTTAAGTCTGAGTCAAGTCCCAAGTCAAATACAGGCAAGTCCAAGTTGAGTCTTGAGTCACTGTCCCAGAAGTCCAAACCAAGTCCAAGTCATTTGCTTTGAGCCTCAAGTCATTTCAAGTCTATATGAATTTTAAACAAAATTGTGCTTAAAAGGTCATGGTATATTTATATATTAGTATTTCTATAGTTGTAGAAACGGTCATTTTTCCTTTTTAAATGTCTTGACAAGATCTTTCGAATCATTATGGTCAGTATAGAAATAATTCAGATTTAAAAGTGTTTACAAAGGATCATGTTCTATGTAGTTCCCTCTGTTTTACTCTATTGTAATGCATATTACTGTAGTACATTTGAGTATCACAGTACTTCAGTTTCATCCAAAGTAACAAACGGAGAAGTGGGAGGGACATATTCCAGTGTGTTCCTTTAAAATTAAGCTCTGTGTTTATCAACTGTAAAGAGAAAAGTATTTTCTAAAAACATATATATATTTAGGAGAATCATCAAGTCTTCTCAAGTCACAGGCCTCAAGTCCGAGTGAAGTCCCAAGTCTTAGTCCATTTTACCAAGTCAAGTCTCAAGTCCTAAAATTAGTGACTCAAGTCTGACTCGAGCCCAAAATATGACTTGCACGTCTGGTCTAAACCGCTAGTCTTTCAGTTCATACGATGTGATGTTATTGAGATTAAAGTTATAGAAACACAAAAGCTACTGCCTTTCATCATTTGGGGCAGTTCTGTGGGAGGATCCTGGCTCTTGTTTGGACACCCCTGCCTTAGAACATTTTTTTGGTTTTAGTTTTATTTTGCTAACATGGCTTGCCACAGTGACTTGCCCCACACTGGCAGAATAAAACTGTGTTGTAATGCAAGTTTGTTTTGGTTTCAGATTGTTCAGCAGAGTAAATCCAGTGAGTTCCCCTCTCTGGAAGCTGAAGTGCTACAGGTTCATGCCCCTCCATTTGTGTCCAAGGAGACAAACTCCAGCCAGCCAGCGTTCAGTCGTGTGCAAAGACGAAAGAGTTTCATTAAGAAGGTAACTTTGGGTATATACAGCACAGTTTTAATAATGCATTTTCTGAAATTGAAAACCATTTTGGATTGAATGAGTGCACCAATTATTAGATATATATTTGTATTGTATTATATTTTATTTACTCGTCATTAGGAATGGGACAAGATCTCTTGAGACAAAATTGCCACAAGATTGTGCACACATGAGAAAAATGATCTCGTGAGATTTTTCCCCCCCGAATTTACATTTGGCTTGGACTAAAAAAAGAGTTAAGAGCTGTAGTCTCAAAAAGCAGGACTACAATGATTACCAAAGCGTTACATAAAATAAATAAAACTAGCGAAGCCAAAATTGTGAAATGGATTGCACTACCCATTTATTACAAATTATGTACAAATCTCAACTTGTCTCATTTTAATGGCCTCAGTCTCGTTAAAATTGCGTCTCGCCCCACCCTTACTAGTCATTTGTCTTTTATGTTCACTAATTTTGTATTAATTTTATTGATTAAACCTTTTAACATATTGATATATTTATTTGATTTTTTTTTTTCTAACTTTTTTATTTCAAATATGGACTAGTAGAATGAACTAAAGTTTTGTGTCTTTTTTCTGGCTTTTATATTTGTACTGTGTTTTTTTTATTAGAAAATGCACTACAGACTTATTGTGACATATGTAGGTGTAAGTCTTGTTAGTGATTTTAAACTTGATGCTCAGATTATTTTTTTTGTTTGTTTGTTTTTTTCAAATTCGTCAAGTGGCTTAAGTTAAACCTGTTCTTTCACGGCATCACCTGGAGATCCTCTTAATCCACGCTTTTGTCACTAACCGCTGAGACTATTGTAATGCACTTTATACTGGGCTTAACCAAACATCACTCGCATGGCTGCAACTTGTCACATCACGGCCATTTTAAAGGTGCATTGTGCAACTTTTTGGTAGAGGGACCATTAAACGCTTTTCTGCAGGGACATGTTATTGCTTTGTTTCACAGTATGGCATTAAACTTTTCTAGCCTTCATGTCTGTTTTTGTAGCTATTTTTGAGCTATAAAACCACCTGTAATTGAATAAATGTAAGGTAGAGCTGTTTAATGTCAAACTGTCGAGCAATGACATATTAACTGAAACAAGCAGATGACCAGTGTTGGGAAGGTTACTTTTAAAATATATTCCCCTACAGATTACAGATTACATGCACAAAAATGTAGTTTGTAACGTAATCCTTTAAATTACTTAAAGTGAGTAATGTAATCTGAATACTTTGGATTACTTGATATTGTCATGCTTTTTAAAATTACATGAATATAGCAACCACATCCTGAAAATTCATGTTCTTCAAAATCTCTGTTGAGCCCAAGTCTCCATGAACAGGCATTTGTTTGCTGTGGAGTAGCAAATACTAGGATTTTAACATCAGAAGTTTTGTCTGTTTAAAGACAATAAAAAGCCCAGTCTTTCCTTAACCAGATTAAAAATATTATTGATAGAGAAATGTTTTCAATATGAGATCAGTGCTGCCTTAAAGTATGTCCATCCTACTGTTAGGTGTCATATTGTTTAGTTCTGTTTTAGTCCTGGTTTTAGTCATGGTTTACTCCTGGTTTTAGTCCTGGTTTTAATCATGGTTTACTCCTGGCTTAGTCCTGGTTTTAGTCCTGGTTTTGTCCTGGTTTAGCCCAAAATGTCAAAACAGGAACATACCGTCACGTAATCCATTTATTTCAACAAAGTAACTGTAATCCAATTACCACTCATTGAAACTGTAACTGTATCTGAATACAGTTACTCATAAATTGTACTCTGATTACTTAACGCCGGTACATGTAATCTGTTACTCCCCAACGCTGCAGGTGACGGACCCCCAACCAGAAAGTTACATAGTGCACCTTTAACGTCCTTGCGCTGGCTCCCTGTCTCTTATCAAATTGCTTTTAAAACCCTTCTACTTTTTTAAATGCCTCCATGGTTTTACTCCTCAATATCTGTCTGTCCTGCTTCAGCCCAGGTCAGTAGATGAGATATTTTTTGCCGTTCACTGAGATATTTTATTACTTATTTCTATTTTTTTTATTCTTACTTGTACATATAGTATACATTTATATAATTATGCCTTATTTGCCTGCAGAATTTCTTATTACCATTTATATTTTTCTCTTTGTTTATTATAATATTTTCTGATATGTGAGCTACTGTGTCCAAGTAATTTCCCTTGTGGATCAGTAAAGTTTGTCCAAGTCTAAGATCACTCCTTTGGTCCCAAAATCAAAGAGAAAACTTAGAGGGGGCCGCTCCAATCTTTTCCAAAACTCTGGAATGCACTGCACCTTAGGAAGTCTACGTCACTTTTGGTTTAGAAATCAGCTCAGAACAGCTTAAAACTCACCTGATCCTTTTAGCATTTGATTGTTGTTGTTGACTTTATAGTGTACATGTGTATTTTTAGAGTTTTTGTGTTTTTTAGTGTCTGTTTTTTTTTGTGTTTGTGTCTATTTTAGTGCCATTTATAATTATTGTTATGTTTTGCTCTTTTGTCAGCTGTGCATTACAAATAAAGTTGTATTATATTGGATTGTGTATAAATATAGTGTATTTAATTTCCATTATAGAAAAGGCGTGAACGAACAGAAACTGTGTCTAATGGAGAATCTTCAAATCGAGCTGAAGTTTCTTCGGTAACGGAGGACATCAGCGTTCCCAAAGACCTCGATCTCATTGCTTTACCTCAGCTGTGTTTTCCAGGTAAAATTACTGCTATCCTTCATGCTGTACAGTGTTGGAAGAAGTACTCCATTTTGATACTTGAGTAACAATACAGATACCAAAAAATGCTCAAATAAAGCTTAAGTAGATTTTTTTTTTTTAACTTATACTAATACGTAGAGTAAAAAGTAAAAGTATTTCATGCAGACTTTGAGATCTAATAAAACGTCAAATGCAGAGATGTTGATAATGATTTTTGCTGTTTTTTTTGCTCAAACCATGAACATGTTAAAAATAAACCCTCAGGCTTTTCGGCAGGTTTCAGATAATCATTTTAAAAAGTACTTTTAACTTGTCAGTCCGGTGCAAATATGTAGCAGAGTAGAAAGTAAAGACAAAAAAAAGTTAAAAAATAAACTAACAAACAAACAAGCAAACAAAAAAGTATAGATACATACTCTCAAATCTACTCAAATCTAGTGACATAAAAGTAAACTGTAAATTCTACCACCTCAATTTCTTACTTAGTATAGTACTTTACTACTTTTACATTCTACCACTGATGCTATAATACCGCCGCTGCATATATCTATACAAAGACCAAGCATATTTTATTTTAGCACTAACTAGTTTTTCTTGCATGTTTCTCTGTTCCGTCTTTGAAATAGGTGGTCTTCAATTGGCCAGTGAGCAAAAAGAAGACACTTACCACTTCCTGGTTTTTACCGACTTGTTTGGAAACCGAACCCATGGAGTGGTGGCTCAGTACTACAGGGCTGTACAGGTTAGTATGAATACAGTAATTACTCTCTTTGTATGAAGCAATTGATACTTTGCAGTGACATCATGACATCATGCTGGGGGTGTGCAACCTGTATGCATATTGGCGGTATTTTCACCAGTTGCCATGGAGACACGATGCACACATTTGCAAACACAACCAGATAGAAATGAATGTCAAGAAAAAATACAAAATGGATTTAAGGAACACATTTTCAGAATACTGTGATCAATACGAGTTCATGGTCTTGTTGAGGTGTTGCCAAAACAAAATTGACATGTTTAACAGCACAAATCATTTCTTTCTGGTCAAACTGTGTTAAAATAAAGCTCAGATTAAAGTCTCGGACAGCGCAGAGCCTACAAGCTATAAAATATAAAACTAACAATATATTTGTATCATAGGCTTGTCAGGAGAATGGTCACAGATGGAATTCAACCAAACATCGTCTTTTCACTCCCTTTGCAATCTGTGTCATCTCCAAGTTCCCCTATTACAACGCTCTGAGAGACTGTTTATCATGGTAAGACTCATTTAATATTGATGTCGTCTTAAGATAAGCCTCCTTATTGTGTTACTAAAATGCTTTGTCATTCAGTCTTCTGGTCCAGCTGCGGCCGGCCCGACAGTCAGATTTTGAAGAGAAAATCAAAGAGTTTTCTGCAAAATTATCACTAGTCCCATTACCGCCTCCAGGACAGCTCCATGTGGTAAAGATCCATATTTTCTTTTTTTTTCTATATTACACAAAATGGATCATTGTGAGCTTTTAACCATGTTATAATGTTGTTATCTTCTCAAAAACACACCTGGAGTTTTGAATTTGCTAACTGTGCAGATGTGGAGAAAACAGGATTGTGTGACTTGTTTTGATGTGAAGGGGGAATTGAGGTGAAAGTTAAAAATGACGCCAAGGTTTCTGGCAGCAGGGGTGATGCTGGGAGCGAGAGGGCCAAGACTATTGATGATACGGAAGGTGAATTGGGGGGAAATTATTAAAATGATTTCAGATTTGGGACTGTTGAGTTGTAGAAAGTTCTGTGCCATCCAACTGTTCACGTCATTGAAGCAGTTTAACACAGTTTAACACAACAGCCAGACAGAGTGGAAAGAAGAACTCAGCCTAAATATGCAGAGTTTGTGTGTTAAACATGTGTGACTGAAACAAAACACAACTCCAGGTATGTCTGTGATGAGGAAACAACATTACATATTATTGATCATAAAATAGCATAATATGGGCCTTTTACAACTTATTACAACTTAATAATAATTATAACTTAATACAACTTTTTATTAATATCATGTTTTTTTTTGTTTTGTTTTTCAGTCGTTCAACCTTCAACCTCTCCAAGTGGTCCTTCCGTCCAGAGAGGATCAGGACAGTCCTGTTATAGACCTTGACCTCCATCTTCCTTTTCTTTGTTTTTCTCATGCAACTTTACTGCAGGTAATTGAGAACATATTACAATCCTACCTGTTTTTGTCATTACAACATTGCAATTGTTTAAAAATATGCCTGATACTAAACAATATATAGTCTATGTCTCAAAGGCTGTATACTGGTATATACGTAAATGGACATAGCTAACCCACTAACTGCTGCATGCCAAATAAGAAGTGACCATGGGCATGCTTCCAGCTCCACTGACTGGATCTAGTTCACTTTGTATTGAGAAAATGTTACCCCTCTATCTGTAACTGTTGCTGTCAGGCTGCTCATTTTGGACTTAAAATGTTTGTATTAACCACCTACATGATCCTAGTGTTTTTATTTCATATTTCTTAATATGGAGCTGGCTCCAAATTCGCTCCTATAACTGCAAGCCTCATGAGTTTCATTTGACTGGATCCAAATGCCAAGGGAGTATACAGTCTATGCTATGTTTACAGTCTTGTACTAAACTATAGGTACATTTTTGCCGCGAAGCAGTTGGTTATAAAAAGGGCGCAAAGAAACATACTTAGGTTTAGTTGACATTTTTTGAAAGAACAATACACAAAAGTAAATACAAAAATAAAATCAGTAAATTCCAATGTTATGTGACGGTATAAGATGTTTTCATCAATAGTCAAAAACTTCAAATGGCCACTTATTTCTTGTTATTTGTCCTATCCTATTTAATAAACTCATTAAACTGGGAGCTACAAACACGTTTTATTTCTCTTTCTTTAGATCCTCTCCTGCCTCCTTCAAGAACAAAGGATGGTTTTCTTCTCCTCTGACTGGTCCAGATTAACTCTAGTGGCTGAAAGTCTACTCATATATCTGCAGGTCAGCCAACAGCACTTTCATTTAGATCAAATTTACATCAAGGCCTATGTAATGTTATTAAACGTGCTTTTATAATGTGTTTGTGTCCTCTCTTAGCCTCTGTCCTGGCAGCAGCCCTATGTCCCTGTACTGGCCAGGGGAATGCTGGATTTCCTCATGGCTCCCACTGCTTTTCTTATGGGCTGTCACGTCTGTCATTTTGAAGAAGTGGCTGCAGTGAGTTTCCTGTTCACATAAAACCACAAACCACAAAGACATATTGACATTGTAGTGATATTTAAACTTTTAAAGGTGGTCATAGAGGTCATGGTGAAGTTTTGCCTTTGTCAAACACATACTTGAAGTTGTGTTTTGTTTCATTCACACATATTGTAACACACAATCCATGCATATTTAGACTCGAGTTCTTCTCTCAAGCAGAAAACAACCACCTTGTGATGTCATGTGGTAATAATGGTGTTCTCTACTTTGTTTTTAAACTCCATGCATCTTCACTATAGTCATGTGGATAATTTCAGCCCTGCAATTGCCATACTCTCCTGACGAAAAGGTCAAATGTAGGCGTTAACTTGAAAATTGCTACTACTTCATGACATCACAAGGTGGAACAGAGTATTTTGAGCTTTGGAGATGTAGACAGACTAATAATAAATGGCTATTCAAATGTGTGAATGAAATAAAACACAACTCCAGGTGTGTTTTTGAGAGAGGAGCAACATTTTTACACAGGTTAAAGTATATTTTGCAACAAAGGACCTTTAAACTAAACCCTGTTTCAAGATAGCAACAAAAACACCTTTAACACGATATAGATCAGTTTAATGCCATACGGTAGAACATTCCAGGCAAAGCTGTAACATCTCCACAGTTCCACAGTGCACCTTTTAATTCACAAAATATTTCCTGATCCGGCGTTCGTGTTGTTGCGTAATGTTAACAGATTATATTTTAAAGCTTTGATTCATGTAATTTTCATCTCCGTTGTGACTGCGCCCCAGTTTGCACAAAGGGCCCAGACAAAGATGGACAATCCAGCAGGGATCTTGTACAATGAGTTGTGACATTTAGTAAATGTTAGTATGCAGTCAGTGTAATACAATATGCATGCACATAAGAACTCTTCTTGCAAAACAGTGAAAATGATTTTTTTTAAAATGCACATATAACAGATCTTTAGAATTTCACTAGTTTTTCAACTCAAATATTATTATGTTTAGTTATTATTTGATCTCAAATTAAGTTATCTTTGAGATCTAAAATGCTACATACCACATTTTCCAATTTGTGTTTTTGTCTAATTGTAAATAGGGGTGTAACAATAACTGAAATATCGTGATATCCTATCGCCCAAGTTCTCACAATAATATCGTGGACCATCACAAAATATCGAATTACAAGTCTCTTTGCTTAAATTAAGAGTTATCTTGCAGCAATAGCAAAACAAAGACAGAGGGAACTACATCGACCATGATCCTTTGCTCCATTTCAGTGACTACATGAAGAAATAACAGTTCTGAGCACTTTTAAGTCTTAGTTCTTTGGATTAAGTCTTGTCAAGGCATTTCAAGAGGAAAAAGTAGCATATTAACAATTCTGTTAGCCTCCAGAAAATATCGCAATAAATATTGTACCGTGACGTTATTGTATCATGAGACTTGGATATCGTTACATCCCTAATTGTAAAGTATGTTTCTGTTGTCTTTGTATTATCTTTATTTTATTGAGTATGGAACGGACTGGACCAGGACTGGACCAGGACTGGACCAGGACTGGACCAGGACTGACCAGGACTGGACCAGGACTGGACCAGGACTGGATCAGGACTGAAACAGGACTGAGTGTCGGGATGGGCCTGGAGGTGCACCCGCGTAAACTGTCGGGTGATCAGAACTGAGACCGGGACCAGACCGGGACCAGACTGGGACTGAGACCGGGGACTGAGACCGGGGACTGAGACCGGAGACTGAGACCGGGGACTGAGACCGGGATCAGACTGGGACTGAGACTGGAACTGAGACCGGGACTGAGATCGGGACCATGTTGCTTAAAGTTGTATTATGTAACTTTTTGCTGGAGGGTCTGTCAAACACTTTTCTCCATGGAGATGTTAATGCTTTGTCTGGAATGTTTCACAGTATGGCAATAAACCTTTCTATCTTCATGGGAACTAAACGAGACCAAGTTACAGGTCAGATCTGTGGAGAGGTGACCCCGCTCAGTCAGAATGCCTGTTTTTCTAGCTGTTTTTAAGCTATAAAAACACTTGTAATTTAATAAATGTTAAGTAGAGCTGTTTAATGTCATACATGGAACAGTGCCAATATCTGCTTTTTTAATGTGAAAAAAGTCAAATTGGTTCAAAATAAATCATGAAATAAACCGGTCTTAGCTTCAAATGTGATAAAATCCTGTAACTGTATTGTGTAGATGTGCACTTTTAAATCAAACACTGCTTTCACTCTGTCCAAAGCCTTCAGCAGCAACCCGAGTATGTTTAAGTAATTGCGTTGAGGTTGCATTTTAAACAGTGGCTGCATTTATCACTGTTCTGACTGTACACAATGCTCAGTGTTAAACCCATCAGATAAATGGCTGTCTTTGTCGTTTCTTGCTCACAGGAGACAGAGGACCTCATCTTGGTGAATGTCGATGAGGGCGTGATTCAGTCATCCTGGTCTGACAGCATTGAACTCCCAGCTGTCCCTTTGCACGCTGCCGAGAGCTTTATTTCAAGGTGTTTTTAATGTGGTCATGTGTTTTAAAGGTTGTATGGAGGATTTTTTTTTGTTTTTTTTGTTTCAAGTTGTCAATGATAGCATTATAGAGGTGCAGTAGCCTTGTAATTATGATGACCAAAAAAAAGAGAATAAAATTCATCAACTCTGGACGTGGTGGGGCCAGCTAAACATTTGCCAATAGATAACGACACGGCCTCGTTATCTGTTAGCTGACAGGCTATCAATCAAACTCCCTACGTTTCTAGCGTAACTGACCTGCCTGCGCGCCGCCGGTACGTGGTTTACGTACGCCTGTCACGCAGTCCACAGACGCAAGACGCACAGACGCTGTTTACTCCACCAATGCAACAGTTCTTAGCGGCTTTTTTTGACCTATATCTTCCTCGCAGTTAGCACAAAGTTTGTTGCAATGGCAGACAAGAATCCAGGAGCAGTTAGCCGCAAAAGAAAGTCCGTTTTTGAGGTCGCTGAAAGAAGAAGACAAGGGGAAAAGCAGCGAAGCCAAACTAAGGTGATTCTTGTAGATTCATTCCAGCGATGGCGCGACTGAAGCAGACGCAGGGTCTAAAGACTGACGCATTGGTCGCCAAATTACTCCTGGACAGGTAACTTCTGCTTATTATGAAAACGTACTTTATTTCCAAGAGCTAGTCAAACGTTTTTCAGGACACGAAAGCGATATCCTATGTCTGAAAACGTAATTTTCAAGGCAAAGAAAGAGTCCGCTTGCTGCTGCGTGTTGTAGCTAGTTCATTCGCACTGAATCTCCGCGCAACCTTCTCTGCTCCCCTTTCCTACTCCTGTCCCCGCTGCCCGTTCCGCTCTTCCCCTTCTCCTCACTTCTACGGGCACGGAATCTCCGCGCACCGCTCCCCTCTCCTCTCTCCTCTCCCCTCTCTCTCTCCTCTCTCCCTGCTCCGCTCTTCTCCCTGCTCCTCACTTCTCGTCCGCGAACGAAATGTCCGCACACCCGCTCCTCACTTCTCCGCCTTGCCTAACCAACACTGTAGTTAGTTGTTTACAAGTCATGTGCAGCTCACCGGCTGTAAACAAACCTGTTTCTGGCGTAGTGAGGAGGCGGGAGAAGGCGTTTCTACGTAGGGAGCTGTAGGGGAGGGGGGGTGGTTTCACGCATGCGCAACATTTGAAAAAGGACAAACAGTCGCTGGATTTCTCGTTCCTTGGAAAATCCTCTATACAACCTTTAATCTAATTTTAAACAGTACACACATGTTTACTAATTAGCCGATTCTATATACAGGGAATTATGAGGTTTGTGAGTCAAGCGTCAAGGAAGAACTCAAATCAAAGGGCCCTTATGAATCCATGTATCATTTGTTCATTAGTTTTTCAAAATAAAACCAAAAATAACAAAATGGAAAAAAAAAAAAAACTTCATTATTTGTCTCCACAACCAAAATGAAAAAAACAAGTAATGATTTGTTTTTTCAGTTTTCAATTTTGTGCTTAAATGAATAATGGAAAAAACGTTTCTCGTTTCCATGACTTAAACTGCGATGCCGGACTTTTGCGCCGCATATGGACTGAACCAGGACTAAAACAGGACTGAGTGTTGGTATGGGCCCGGAGGTGTGCCCACGTAGACTGTCAGGTGATCAGGACCAGACCGGGACTGAGACTAGGACTGAGACTAGGACTGAGACTAGGACTGAGACTGGACTGGGACTGGGACTGGGACTGGGACTGAGACCGGGACCGAGACTGAGACCAGACCAGGACCGGGACTGAGACCGGGACTGAGACCAGGACTGAGACTGGGACCAAACCTGGACCAGACCGGGACTGAGACTGGGACTAGACCAGGATTAGACCGGGACTGAGACCGGAACCTGGTTTAGTCCTGATTGAATCCTGGTTCAGTTTGGCATCGCTGATTAAGTCATGGAAACAGGAAACAGCCGTTATCCGTTTTTTTCCATTATTCATTTAAACACAAAATCGAAAACTGAAAAAACTAAAAGTGTTTTTCATTTTGGTTTAGGAGACAAATAATGAAGAAAACAGTTGCTTTTTCGTTTTCTTATTTTTGGTTTTATTTTGAAAAACAAATGAACGAATGATACACAAATTCATATTACTGATCTGATCTGTGTTATGATGTTGTTTCCTCATCACAAACAAACCTGGAGTTGTGTTTTGTTTCATTCACACGTGTGTAACTCACAAACCCTGCATATTTAGGCTTTGTTCTTTTCTCAAACAGAAAACACTCTGTTCCACCTTGTGATGTCATGTGATAATACAGCATTTTCACTGCATGATATTAATCTTCGCTTAAGGAAAAGTAGATTATGGGTGAACATATATTTAAAGATGCACTGGGTCACCTTTCACACAGTTACTTTTTACTGGAAATAGTTTGTGAGTCAAGGATCAAGGCAGAACTATAATTAAAAGTCTTGAAAGCATGTTACTTAATAAAGCTCTATTGACTCATTGCAGCCAGTTAGGAGAGTATGACTTGTGTTTTTTTTTTTTGTTCTGTTTTCAGAGTGGAGAGTCTTCAGATTCACTATGATTTAGAGCTGTGCCATCTTGGATCAGGGACAGACGTGAACGTGATAAGGACCCAGCGCAGAGACTGGCTGCGGAGACTCAACACTCAGATACAAAACATCGCACTCGAGCTGGTTGTCAACATCTTCAAGTATGAGTTCTGTGGGGAATTTCTGGAGTGGCCTTAAAGTAATCAAGTAATCATTAAAATTGCTATAATTTTTGTCTTTTGATTTTTTTATTAGGGGTGTCCAGGACTTCCTTAACCATGAGCACAGAGTTTTCAACAGTGAAGAGTTTCTTAGGACCCGTGAACCAGCCGACCAACTATTTTACAAGAAGGTATTACATAATAAAGGAAATGATCAAAACCAAGCCTCTTTCAGTATTATGAGCAAATAATGTCACTATTTTTACGACACCTATAAGTAGCAGCAGATTATTTATAGCCTTAGTTTTTCATTAGTAATGTTTTGTGATCAATGTTTTAAAATATAATGTTTATTTATTACGCCATTTTCTGTTGTGTTATGTTTTGTTTCATTTGCACAACTCCTGCATATTTAAGCTGAGTTCTGCTCTCAAACAGAAAACACTCTGTTTCACCTTGTGATGTCATGTGGTAATACAGGAAGTGCTCCACTGTGTTTTTAAACTCCATACACCTTCACTAGAATCATTTGGATGTCTTCAGACCTGGTATTGCCAATCTCTGCTGAACAAAAGGTATAAATGTAGCTGTTAACTTGAAAACTGCCACTACATGACATCATAAGGTGGAACAGAGCATTTTGAGATTTGGAAATGTAGACAGATAATTCAGGATTGCTCATGCAAGTGTGAATGAAACAAAACACAACTGGAGGTCTGTTTTTGAGGAGGCAACAACATCATAACAAGGCTAGAACACAAGAGCCAATTCTGTGTAATAGGTTAAAGAGGTCAGGTTCTGAAAGCAGAACAAGCACCCATAACAGCTTGGTTTTATTTTCTCGGTAACACTTTATTATTTTCTCGGGTACACTTACTTATCTAACTACCTGCTAATTAGCATAGTTGTAGATGTTTAATTTGTAATTAATTAGTATTTATTCAGCCTTTATTAATGTCTAATTGCCCATAAGATTATTCTGCTATTAGTTAGACATTTACAAACACTTTAATATTTATACACTTTATTATTGCTTATTATTTTGATACTAGGCCATTTTTGTTCATGAATTTTGATTCTAATAAGCTTTTGGTAATAAGCATGTTGTTAAAGACTAGTAGCATAAGAAATGTAGTTTTTACTTATTTGCACTTAATATATTTAGCTTACTTAATTTATGGTTATTTGGAGTAACACCTAATAGAGAGTGTTTTATTACATAAGACTAAGCTACATTTATTAAGTGCAAATAAGTTAAAACTACATTTCTTGTGCTAATAGTCTTTAATAACACATTATTACCAAAAGCTTATTAGAATCATAATTCATGGACAAAAATGTCTTAGTATCAAACAGCAGTAATAAGGAGTGTATTAATATGTGTTTGTAAATGTCTAACTAATACCAGAATAAGCTTATGAGGAATTAGACATTAATAAGGGCTGAATAAATACTAATTAATGACAAATTAACCATCTACAACTATACTGATTAGCAGGTACTTAGATGTTAATAAGTGTACCCTAAAATAAAGTGTTACCATTTTCTCTGTATTTTTTTAATTACATTTTTAAATGTCCAAATCACAGTTAAAATGTGTTTACTTTACAGCTTAATCTATAAATGTAAATTTTATTATGCAATTATTATTAATGCAATGGTCTAATGTACCAAAGTTCTAAATCAAAGAAATGTTGCTTAAAGGTGCATTGTGTAACTTTTCGGTGGAAGGTCCGTCAAATGCCTTTCTATCTTCATGGAGACCAAAGCAGACCAAGTTACAGGTCAGATCTGTGCAAAGGCAACTCCACTCACAGTCAGATATAGGCCTGTAACAGTTCAGCAATGGTTTATTCAAGTGCACTTTTGTTAACAAGTCCTTGCTGTGAGCCAGACCACATTAGGCTATTTTTATTTAGGCCTGTTGTTTTTTCTTGTTTTGAAGTTCCTGTGTTAAATGTTCTTTAAAAAGTGAGGTTTACTGATCTATGAGAGGGTGTATTTGCATTTTTATTCCATGGTCATTATATTAGTTGAAAATTGTCTCAAAATATCAATATTAACATTTATCGCAATAAATTCTTGGTCAGTTAATCGTCCAGCAAAATCTGTTATCGTTACAGGCCTAGTCAGAATGCTTGTTTTTCTAGGTATTTTAAAGCTATAAAACCACCTGTAATTTAATAAATGTTAAGTAGAGCTGTTTAATGCCATACTGTGACACATTCCAGGCAGAGGAATGACATCTCCATAGAAACAAGCAGGTGACGGACCCCGCTAGAAAAGTTACAGAATGCACCTGTAAATAAGTCTTTCATTTGTTCCTGGAGAGCCCAGCCACAATAAAGCCTTTTGTGTGCTCAGGTCTTAGAAACCCATATCTTCCACTCGTTCTTGCGGGACAGGCTGAACAGGAAGAGCGACACCTACAGTCGAATGGAGCAGAGCATGCGTAACCATGCCCACAGGTGAGTTTCCATGGTTAGACCTAACAGGGACTTGTATCCGGGCAGCAGAGAGGCCATAAAAACGCACAGGGTTATCTTTACGATGGACAAGATCTCACTTAGATGATTGAGCTTAGTCATAATGGTCACTTTCACCAGAATCATTTGGATAATTTCAGCTCAGGCATTGCCAATCTCTACTAAACAGAAGGTAAAAGGAGCTGTTAAATGGACAGTTTAGAATTTTGGACATAGGGCCTCATTTCCTAGTGAGCCAGAGAGTTGGAAACGCATGGAGACACTTTTTTAAAATATTCCATCCAGTCCTTGTATTTGCAGAGGTCACTGGTGCTAGGCTAGTGCATGTCAATGGCCATAGTTAGCCTGCCACTAAAAACAGTCTTACCCACTCCACAAAGCACCTGAAGCAAATCTATTATTACACCAGACTGTCGATGTGAATGTTTGTGTTGATTGAATAATTTTAGAAGTAAAACCAACCTTGCATTTGATGGATTTATGTCTGAGCAGCAGCAGAGAGTTGTACTTCCTGATAGAAAGCTCGGCAGCAGCGGACTGATGTGAGAAAATAGTCCCTCAACGTGTGACTATTTCTCGCGATGCAAGGCTAGTTTTATTTCAAACATTATTCTATCAACACAGACATTTACATCGACAGTCTGGTGTAATAATAGTTTTGCTTTGGGTGTTTTGTGGAGTGGGTAAGACTGTTTGTAGTGGCAGGATAACTATGACCACTGACATGCACAAGCCTAGCACCAGCGACCTCTGCAAATACAAGGACTGGATGGAATATTTAAAAAACTGTCTCCACACGTCTTCAACACTCTGGCTAACTAGGAAAAGAGGTCCTATGTCCAAAATCCCGAACTGTCCCTTTAACTTTAAAAACTACCATGTCATGACATCACAAGGTGGAACAGAGCATTTTGAGTTTGGAGATGTAGACAGACTAGTAATAAAGAATTACTCAAAATTTAGTTGAATGAAACAAAACACAACTGAAGGTATGTTTTTGAGGAGGTAACAGCATTATAACATGGCTTAAAGCTCACAAGCCAATTTTGTGTAATATAGCCCCTTTAAATGTAAATATATAAAGTTTAGAAGCATGTTTTTCAATTAGAATGTAGAGTAACGTTAGGCTTTAGTTGCTGTTGCTGTGACTTCATCTTCTGTGTAATTCTCTATTGTCCATGCTCTCTCACTGACGTCAACAATGTGACCTTTTGTAGAAACCGCGCCATGACCGAGACCCCGTCACGGCGCCCCCCGATGTCCGAACTGTCCCGCAGCGGATACAGCAGCTACACCAGCCCCGACCACAGACTGAGCAAGAAACTGGGAGCTAGCATGCCCAATCTGCAACAGCCCACAGCAGACACTCTCACTGTCGTCATCCCCTGCCGACCTGCCTCACTCAGGAAAATGACTCCAGATATAGGTCAGAAAAAGACCAAAAATCTATTATATTTAAAAGTTTATTGGTTGGGTTCATCACCTGCTTGTTTCTATGGATATGTTAATGTTCCACAGTGTGATATTAAACAACTCTACCTTACATTTATTCATTTACAGGTGGTTTTATAGCTCAGAAATTCCCAGAAAAACAGGCATTCTGACTGTGAACAGGGTCAAATCTGACTCTAACTTGGTCAGGTTTGGTCCTTATGAAGACAGAAAAGTTTAATGCCATACTATGAAACATTCCAGACAAAGCAATAGCATCTCTATGGAGAAAAGAATTTGGCAGACCCTCCACCAAAAAGTTACACAATGCACCTTTAAACGACCACTTATTAATGGCTAACTAGTAGAAATTGATATGCAAAGTTGATATTTGTTAGTGTTTACCAAGATATTATGACATATTTGATATTTAACTACTGTATTACTACTACTACTGTACTATTTAACTACTGTATTTAACTATTTAGCCATTAAATATACTGTATATACTCTTTTCATTTAGTAATTTTCCACATTATCTCAACTATTATCCTAATACACATTAATAAGTGCTTCATAAACCTGACCGTATACCTAAATGACCACTAAGTCAGTGTTTCCCAAACTTTTTTTCTGGGGACCCATATTTTAAAAGTCATAATCCTTTGCGACCCAAGTCAATAGACATTATTCGTAAATCACAAAATAAAGCTGGATTTGACCATTATTGAAAGAGGATATTTTATTGTTGACTGAGTGATCATGTCTCTCTGAACAATTAGTATTACTCAAGTTTTAAACAATGAAAACAGTCATTGAACAAGCAATAAAAGGATTTATAAGTCATCTATTTGGACATTAAATGTAGCCCTGTATATTGCAGATTGTGACAAGCCAACACCCCCAAAAAATTCTTGCGACCCAGTCTTTGGGAAACACTGCACTAAATAACATACCAATAATCACTATAGATTAATATGTGGTCCACATACTAACGAACAACAATCTCCTAAACGTAATGTTAATTCTGCAATGTTATTAGAATCCATCCACTTAAAGGTGCATTGTGCAACTTTTTTGGTGGAGGGTCCTTCAAATGCTTTTCCTCATAGAGATGTTATTGCTTTGTCTGGAATGTTTCACAGTGTGGTATTAAACCTTTCTATCTTCATTGAGGCCATACAAGACCAAGTTACGGGTCAGCTCTGTGGAGAGGCAGGCAGTCTTGCTCACAGTCAGAATGTCTATTTTTCTTGGTATTTTTGAGCTATAAGAACGCCTGCAATTGAATAAATGTAAGGTGGAGCTGTTTAATGTCATATTGTGGAACATGACATATCCATAGAAACAAGCAGGTGACAGACCCTCCACCTGAAAAGTTACACAGTGCACCCTTAAATAATGCAGTTTTAAATGTGCCTTTTCTGTTTCTTTACAGGTTTAAAATTTCAAAACAAGCCAGTCAAAATGTTCAAGCTCCCAGATTTCCCCCCTCCGTTGGCGTATCATTATGTCCAAAAGTATTATCTAAACATGGTCGATGCACTGAAGAGCGCCATCGACTCCACCCCACCTGAAGAGGCAGCACTGCTCGCCAGGTAAAGAAGCTCTTGTTGTAGATAAACCTGTTCATGAAATACAGAACATCATCCACACTGACAGGGGAAGTAAAAGAGACGATGAAAAAAAAATATTGTTTGGTTATTTTAATCCTCAATATTGTATTGTAGGAAGCGTTTACAATTTCGCAGACACCACTGGGACTAAATCAGGAACTAAACCTGGAACACCCAAAGAAGCAATAAGGTTGGGAAGTTAAGCTTGAGTTAAGCTGAAGGTTAAAGATCTTATATTACACAGAAAACAAAACACAATTCTGGGTATGTTTTTAATGAGGAAACAAGATTATAACATAGCGTGCAAATACAAATAGCGTAAATATGGGCACTTTAAAGATGCTTTGTGTAACTTTTCTGGTGGAGGGTTTGTCAGATGCTTTTCTTCGTGGAGATGTTATTGCTTTTTCTAGAATGTTCCACAGTATGGTATTAAACCTTTCTATCTTCATGGAGACCAAATGAGACCAAGTTACAGGTCAGATCTGTGGAGAGGTGACCCCACTCACAGTCAGAATGTTTGTTTTTCGAGGTGTTTTTGAGCTCTAAAACCTCCTGTAATTGAATAAATGTGAGGTAGATATTTTTAATTGTATTACTGTGGGACATTCCAGGCACAGCAATGACATCTCCATAGAAACAAGCAGGTGACGAACCCCCAACCAAAAAGTTACACAATGCACTTTTAAGGTATATTTTATTTAGTGCTGTCAGGCGATTAAAAAAATTGAGAGATTAATTAATTATGATCTGTAATTAATTAATGTAATTAATCTCTTTTTAATCTCACCTAAAAATTGCTGAGAAAAGCCTTCAACTTGAGGTATTTTCATTTAAATTCATTATTACATTATTATTATTACATATAAACCATGAACACTCTAGAGCCACATCAGCTCGTTTGAAATTATAATGTGTTTAATGCTGATTTGTGCAAGTCTCACAGAAACGAAACTTGAAAAACCGCATGGCTAATTTGCATAAACTAAGCGAGAAAAAAAAAAAATGCTCTTGTGTCGCTGATGCGGTTCAGAGTGTTGAAGGTGAAGGTGAGTCTGTTCTGTGTTTGTGTTGTGATGTTTTCAGAGATCAGACGTGTGCAGGTTTATCGCAGATGCGGCGAGAACGAGAAAGAAAATCACAATTGTTTGCGGAAGCGAAGTGTTATTGTCCCAACAACACATAAAAACAGATTTTATAATAAGGCAACTCGCGTACAGAAACAGTAAAGTTAGAGATTAAAAATGAGATTAACGCGATTAAAAAACATAACGCGCTAAATATGACTGTAATTAATTAATTAATCGCAATTAACGCGATAATTTGACACCCCTAATTTTATTATCTTCTTTGGGGAATTTGTCTTCTGCAAAAGTTAAAACTGGTTAACTTATTTCTTAGGCTCTGTTTATATGATGATGGTCTGAACAGAAGACGCAAATGTGGCGTCGCATCTTCATTTATCGTGCATACGGTGACGCAAAAGTGTGTGGAATTTAATTGGTTATGCATACCATGCAGTTAGGTGGTGATGATCTGACCAGAGTTTTGTGTCTTGGGCAGTGAAGACAGAAATGCTACGGCAGAGTGTATTCAACTTTTCCACTCTGGAGGGTGGTTTCAGATTTTTGCATTTTCAAACCCCAAAAATGCCGTCACCATCCAAACGAAAGGCACTTCCACTAAAATATTTTGTTGTTTTTACCCACAAGCGTTCTCATGTAAACAGGCCCTAAGTTCATCGTTATCATTATCTTATGTCTGACTGGTTTGTGTCCAGGTATCACTATTTGCGTGGTCTGGTGAACACCGTGTCGAATCGGCCTCTTGAAGCTCTTGAAGATTTCCAGAGTCTTTACAAAACAGACGCTGACATCTTTCCCTCTCAAATGGTCAAGTCTCTAGTCGACTCGCTGCCTGAGACCGAGCGCATGCTGGTTAGTCAAATATTTATACTTCCATTTGTATTGATTTTATTATTGAGCCCTGAAGTTAACCCAAGGAGCAGCACGGAGCTCAATAAACTTACAAATGTACTATTTCTGCACTGTACTTTGAATAAACAGGAAAGATTTTCTATCCATCATACATATTTAAAGGTGCACTGTCTAACTTTTTGGTTGGGGGTCTGTCACCTGCTTGTTTCTATGAATATGGAATGTTCCACAGTGTGACATTAAACAGCTCTCTCTTACATTCATTTGATTACAGGTGGCTTTATAGCTCAAAAATTCCTACAAAAACAGGCATTCTGACTGTGAGCAGGGCCGCCTCTCCACAGATCTGACCTGTAACTTTGTCTGGTTTGGTCTCCTTGAAGATGTAAAGGTTTAATGCCATACTGTGAAATATTCCAGACAAAGCAATAATACCTCTGTGAAGAAAAGCACTCTCCAACAGAAAATTTACACAATGCTCCTTTGAAAGTGTTCTCCAATTAATAAAACAATAAGGAACATTTAGACATATTTGAAGCAATTTCATTTATTTGTTCGAATTACAAATCAGTCAGGTCCTTGGCCCAAACTAAATATTGGCTTCATAAGGACCTTTAATAACAAATATTGGTCAACAGCAAATGTGGTATAGATTAAATTATTACCTAAAACACACATTGAAATTTCATCTCTGTCAATTGAACCTTTTTTTTATTTATTTTTAATTCAAAATTTTGGCCTGTCCCTGCCTATCAAATAACTTGGTCATTCAATTTAAAAACAAAACAAGCACAGCAGAATTTGTCATTTTCATTTCTAAGTTATATACAGTATTTACACTTAAAGCAGAATTGAAAAAGCACTAAGGAATTTCATATCTCATACCTGGAACCATAAAGTACATTGGGCCAAAACTGCTCTAAAGTTTACAGAAATTATAATCTGATGAGAAAACACCTTTATTTTACTGAAATAATGTTTAAAGTAACTGAAAAAAGTGACTGCGTGTAAATTTTGCTGAATTTTCATCATATTTCTCAACTTTTCCTCGCAAATTACTTCTTGATTCATGTAAAACTATAATTTATAAAACAGAAAATTAACAGGCCAAAGTAAGTAGAAATTAGATAATCATAAAAACTTTAATTTTCTTCACAGATGGAAAAACGGCCTGAGATCAAACGCCTCATAAGCCGACTGAAACGCGACCAGGAGCGAGAGCGAGCGCAAAATGGTAAAAGTTACGAAGACGGGACGGTGAAAAGGTTCAAACTACCCAAAACCTACATGCACCTGGACGAGTTTGTGAAGTGTGTCCAAGAATCCGGCATCGTCAAAGACCAGGGCACCATTCAGAGGCTGTTTGACGCCATGACCGTAGGTAAGAAGTATGGTTATGTAAAGCTCCACTACACTCTAATGTGGAGCTACTTTTTCCTTTTTCCTGGCAATCATTTATGCTCTGGGTTAATTATTACCTCACCCTGTCTTTAAGGTTCTCTGTGGTGTAACCAAGGCTGTATAAATAGAAGTTACTAACCAGGAAAATATGTTTTAGTGCCTTAAAAGATAAACTTCAAGTAAGAAAGTAACCGATGAAAGGTGCATAGACTTTGTGTATACTTTTTTTCATCTTACTTATCGAGGAATATGTTTGGACAAAGTGGTACTCTGCTTTTTTAACCATGTCTTTCAAGCCTGTTTGGCTGTTTCCTGATTCACTTTTAAAAGTATCAGCAGCAATAATAGTAAGTCTATAGCATAATATTGATTTTTTTTTTTTTTTTTGCAATTACATCATGCTAATTGAAGTGTGTGTATAGCAGAATGTTCAACTGTTACCATAGAGACACAGTGCACACATTTGCAAACACTGTCAGAAAGTTTTAAGATAATTTGAAAGCTCAATAAATAATACAAAATTGATTTAAACTATCTAATCCACTTTATTTATTTAGCACATTTTATAAACATGACAGTTTCTAGCAAATTAAGACAAAAAAAGATAAAAGACAAGTTTAGTTAGTTGCATTTTGTATACTTACTAATACTATGCTATAATATATACTAATATACTTTCAACCATGATGTACTTTCTCTCAAGAACTCTTTTGTTGTGTAGCTTTCTCAGTTATTTTATTTTGAAATGCCAGTATACTACGACGTCCTCTTGGGTTCACCTCTGGTAGTGACTCAGGTCTAGTTCATGACGTAGCTTCTTTGGTGCATTCAAAGTGTCATCCAGATTTAGAGCCAAACTAACCTGGTCACATTCCTGTAATCTCAGATCATTCACAACAACAAGAAACCACAAATTGCTACTGTATCAGACGAAGGAAATGTGGTTTTGCGGTGGATGTTTGGTTAAGGAAGAAACTGTGTGGTAGATAAACTAGAAAAGGAGGGGAATGTTTTTAATATGGTGTGAACGTGTCCCTTGGAGTTCCCATTTGGACATAAGTGCTGGAATTTATCTTATCTTTCTCTTCAAGCTGTACTCGAGGAAACACTGGCCAGAAACAGCAACTGATAGACTGTTCTTGAAAGCAACAGTATATTAGGCCATTAGTCAGTTGGTCTATTAAGTCTTAAAGGGCCCATAATACTCTATATTTTTCTGATCTGTGCTATAATGTTGTTTTCCCACCAAAAACAAACCTGGAGTTGTGTTTTGTTTCATTCACACATGTTTAACACACAAACTGTAGGATATATAGGCTGTGTTTTTCTCTCAAAAAAAAAAAAAAAAAAACACAATCTGTGAAAATCACCACTTTACGGCATCACAAGGTGGAACAGAGCGTTTTGAGCTTTGGAGATGTAGATAGACTAATAATAAAGGGTTACTCAAACACATGTGAATGAAACAAAACAATCCTCGTTTGTTTTTTGAGTAGTAGCAGTCTCGAGTCAATTGTGTGTAATATAGGACCTTTAATATTATAATTATTTGTGTTTTATGCAGTTTTTATGCCTTATTGATCATCTTGGACAGGAAAAAGTCCAGCAAAAAGTGTTTAAAGGGACAGTCTGGAATTTTGGACATAGGACCTAATTTCCTACTGAGCCAGAGTGTTGGAGACATGTGGATGGTGCTAGGCTAGTGCATGTCAATGGCCATAGTTAGCCTGCCACTAAAAAACAGTCTTACTTACTCCACAAAACACCCGAAGCAAATCTGTTATTACACCACTCTGTCGATGTAAATGTCTCTGTTAATAGAATAATTTTAGAAGTAAAACCAACCTTGCATTTGAAGGATTTATGTCTGAGCAGCAGCAGAGAGTTGTACTTCTTGATAGAAAGCTTGGCAGCGGCGGACTGGTATCACCTAGCACCTATCTTACCGACAATGTAAAATTTCACTGCTGCTGCTGAGAAAATAGTCCCTCAACATGTGACGATTCATGTGGCGCAAAGTTAGTTTTATTTCAAACATTATTCTATCGACACAGACATTTACATCAACAGTCTGGCGTAATAATACAAGGACTGGATGGAATATTTTAAAAAGTGTCTCCACACGTCTCCAACACTTTGGCTCACTAGGAAATCAGGCCCTATGTCCAAAATTCCAGACTGTCCCTTTTAAACTAAAAGATGCGTATACAGGGGTTTAAGTTAACTTGACGTTGACAACTTGACAACTGACGTTTAGCTGTATAAAAAATTAGAAACCCATAGTTATTATCTTGTAAAATAATGATCTAAATTCTGATCTAAATTGTGTTGTTTTCCAATAGGACACCAGAAACAGGTCAGTCCCGACTTGTTCCGAGTGTTTTATACCATCTGGAAGGAGACAGAGGCTGAAGCACAAGAGGTCTGTGTAAACTTGGATAAACTTACTAAAAATACTAAAGTTTTAGTATATTATAATATTACATAATGTTACACTCTTAAACATACCTGGAGTTGTGTTTCATTTCATTCACACGTAATTAACACACACCCTGCGTACTGTATTTAGACTGAGCTCTTCTCTCAAACAGAAAACACTCTGTTCCAGTTTGTGATGTCATCTGGTAATACAGCAGTGCTCCACTGTGTTTTTAAACTACATACACTTTAATAATAATACACTTTATACTTAAATTTGGATGATTTCTGCTCTTGGAATTGACCATCTCAACTGAACTAAAGTTTAAAGGGGCTGTTAACTTCAAAACAACCACTTCCTGACATCAGAAGGTGGAACAGAGCGTTTTGAGCTTTGGAGATGTAGACGGACTAAGTAGACAGAGGAATCTTAGTATCTTATTATAAGATTACACTCTTAGATAGTAATCAACATAATCCAGAAATATTGTTGCAAATATTGTTTATTTCATATAGTTTTTTTAATCCAGGCTCAAAATTAATTTAATCAGACTGGCTTTCAACACTCAGTGACATTTTGTACAGTCTGTTTTATATAATTGTTTTACGTTTTTGCATATAAATAAAGATTGTTTGTATTGTTTAAAGGTGCACTATGTAACTTTTTGGTTTGGCGTCCATCACCTGCATGTTTTTATGGAGATGTCATTGCTCTGCCTGGAATATTCCTCAGGATCTACCTTAAGTGGTGTTATAGCTCAAAAATACCTAGAAAAACAAACATTCTGATTATGATCGGGGTTGCCTCTCCACAGATCTGATCTGTAACTTGGTCTGGTTTGGTCTCCGTGAAGATAGAAAGGTTAGAACCATACTGTGAAACATTCCAGAGAAAGCAATAACAAGTCCATGGTGAAAAGCATATGACAGACCATCCACGAGGAAAGTTACGCACAGCAGCTTTTAACTTAAGTTTTTAACATGTTTTTGCATTTGTTTTTCAGGTTTGCCTCCCTGCATCAGTGTTGGAGCACATTGACCCATCTGAGTGTGTCTTTAAGCTTTCCTCCTCAGTAAAGACGAGTAGAGGAGTGGGAAAAATCGCTATGACCCAAAGACGCTTGTTCTTGCTCACTGACGGGCGCCCCGGGTACGTGGAGGTGGCTCAGTACAGAGACTTGGAGGTAAGACAATATTTATATCCTGAAACAAAAGCTATCATGTTTTGACAAGGTTTTAGGTTTCAACTGTATTTATTATTTGATTTTTCTAGGAGGTGAAAGTCTCCTCTGCTCCAATTCTGCTGTTGAGAATTCCCAGTTTGAAGCTGAGGGTGCGGGGACGGAAAGATGCATTCGAGGCAAATCTGAAAACGGAAACAGAGCTGTGGAATCTGATGGTGAAAGAAATGTGGGCTGGACGGATCATGGCCGATCAACATAAGGTACAGGTCATTTTATATGGGAAATATTTGCATGTATGAATTTTATAGTTCTAGTTTTATATGTTTGCTTTCTATGTTTGCTTTCTAAAATATTTGTCAACAGGGTATTGCTATTTTAAAGGGCTCATATTACACTATTTTCTGATCTATGTTATAATGTTATTTCCTCATCAAAAAATACCTAGAGTTGTGTTTTGTTTCATTCACACGTTTCACACAGAAATCTGCATGTTTAAGATGAGTTCTTCTCTCATATAGAAATTACTCCATTCCACCCTGTGATGTAATACAGGAAGTGCTCCACTGTGTTTTTAAACTCCATACATCTGCACTAGAATCATTTGGATGATTTCAGCTCTGGAACTGCCAGTGTCTACTGAACTAAAGGTAAAAGGGAACCATTAATTTGAAGACTACTGCTTCATGACATCACAAGGTAAAACAGAGCATTCTGATCTTTGAAGATTTACACAGACTAATAATGCAGGATTACTAAAACATGAAACAAAACAACTCCAGGTATGTTTTTGAGGAGGAAACAACATTAAATCATGGATTAAAGCTCATGAGAGTCAATTTTGTATAATATGGGATCTTTGACAGTAATATAGAGTAATTGGAATTAAATGTGTAGATTTCACCACTTGATGCTTTTTAACTTTATTATTTACCTTATTTTTAAGCAAAAATATAAATACATATATGCCACTTGCTACTACTACTTTTTCATTGACTGCCTCCAAGGTTAATATGGTTGATTTGAAAGATTTTTTAAATAGGTGTGTACCTGGCTAGCCAGGCTGGCGCCACCTAGTGCCTCCCCTCAATTTAATTTCTCTCCAGCAACTAGGTCAGGAATTGGAATACAGTAGACGGCTTGCAAGAACCCAGGAAGTTGTAGACCACGCAGTGGCCTATCAGCGAAGAGCTGTGAAGCCATGATTGGGTCCCTTTTGTGGTACAGCACAACAGTAAACAAAGGGGTCAAGATGTAGATGAAGCCATACATTCTGTGTTGGCAACAATTCCTGAGATTGAGGATTTAAAGCCAGAATAAAGAGAATCAAGGGGAAAATCGTTATTGCCCTTCTTCCTACGGGATTCGGGAAAATCTTAATATACCAGTTAGCCCCGTTAGCGGAGCATTACATATGTCACGACTAAATAGCAGCGTTTGGTTAAATAGAAAAAGTACCTGCCTATCGTCAAGCGAACGAATCCTCATGCTGATGAATCAGGCTAGTACCTGGCAAGATCAGATAGCACAGTCACAGCCAAAGCCCCTCCTTGTGTTACAAAGTAAATTTGTGTTGACATGCAATAACACTGATTACTCTTAAAAAGCCCCAGTGAAATGCACCCACAGTTTTGTTTCTTGTAAAAATATTGAGAATATAGTCTGCCATGTATAGTATGTAAAGTAGTGCGATTTAGGAGATAATGATTAATTGCACATATTTAAGCCCAGTGACTCTGATACAATCCTAAAGAGTTACATTAGTATGAGTTCTGGTAACACTCTCACACTCCCTCCTTTTGAGTCTGAGCTGCTCTCTGTGTCTCTGTGTCTCTGTGTCTCCGTGACCTTTGTGGGTGTGGCTGCTTTTCCTCAAAACCTCTAATATGAGCGCACACAGAGAGCCCTTTGTGAAACTCAAGATTTTAAATAGCTCGCTTTCACTTTGCAATCAGATACTTTCTATGTTTTTATAAAGAAAGAGACTTCAAGATTGACCAGTAGTTTTTTTTTTTTTTGTTGTTGTTGTTTTTTTATCTATGTGTAAACCCGGCACTGAACTCTGAGTTGTAAAAGAGGAGGAATTGAGGAGTTGCCAAATATTTAAATTATTTATCTGTTCTTACCACAAACTCATTTATTTTGTCTGTGTGATCTAAAGGTGCATTGTGTAACTTTTCTTTATCTCCAGGACCCTCAGTACATGCAGCAGGCCCTGACCAACGCTCTGCTGATGGACGCTGTTGTGGGGAGTCTTCAGAGCAGTAAAGCCATCTTTGCAGCTTCTAAACTGGCTCATTTTGACCGCATACGAATGGAAGGTAGCTTAAATAGTTTACTTTTTTTTTATTTTACTTGTTTTGTATTCTTTTTTATTGTTATGAAAAGCATTTTGAACAGCTATTTCCACATTATTTTACCCTAAAACTGTGAGTTTATCTGTGCCATCCGTACCACCATTTCTTAAAGTTTTTTTATTATTATTATTTATTTTATTTTTAAATTTATTATGATTACGTTTTTAAATTTTGAAGTAGGAGTAGTAGTAATAGTAATAGTAGTAGTTAGTAGTTAGTAATTAGTAGTATTTAGAAGTAGTTGTAGTTGTTGTAGGAGTAGTAGTAGGAGTAGGAGTAGGAGTAGTAGTTAGTAGGAGTAGTAGTTAGTAATTAGTAGTAGTAGTTGTTGTAGTAGTAGGAGTAGGAGTAGTTAGTAGTAGGAGTAGGAGTAGTAGTTAGTATGAGTAGTAGTTAGTAATAAGTAGTAGTAGTTGCTGTAGTTGTAGTTGTTGTTGTAGTAGTAGTAGGAGTAGTAGTAGTTAGTAGTTAGTAATTAGTAGTAGTAGTAGTAGTTAGTAGTCAGTAGTTAGTAGTCAGTAGTTAGTAGTCAGTAGTAGTTGTAGTAGTTAGTAATTAGTAGTAGTAGTTAGTAGTTGTTGTAGTAGTAGTAGGAGTAGGAAGGAGTAGTAGTAGGAGTAGTGGGAGTAGTTAGTAGTTAGTAGTAGGAGTAGTAGTAGTAAGTAGTTATTAGTAAGAGTAGTAGGAGTAGTTAAAAGTAATTAGTTAGTAGTTTGTAGTTGTAGTAGTTGTAGTAGTTTATGATAGTAGTTTAGTTGAGTATTTTTGTTTAGTCATGGTTTAACTAAAACTTATTTATTTAAGACATTTTTTTTTCTAATTTAATAGACTACTGTATTTAGACCAGAATTTGTCATAATCTGTTTTGAATAATATGCTGCATGAAAGTACACACTGGATTAATAATTTGAAATGTGTTTTTGCTAATCTAACCAGTATTGTATTTGCAGTGTGCAGCTGACCATATAATGTTCCTATTTCCTCCCAAGTGAAGTTTAACAATGCTTTCTGCCCCAGTGCCCATGATGGTTCCCACGACGACGGCAGAGACACTAAAACACAAAATTAACCCTTCGCTGGAGCTGACGGCTACTCATGCTGTAGATGTTCTCCTCTACACGCCAGGTAAACAAACAAATATCAGGGATGGTTCTCAAACTCTCCCCCCCCCCTTCTCTCTCTTTCTCTGTGCACCCCCCTCTCTCCCTCTCTGCCCTCATCTCTCACTCTCTCCCCTTCCCTCTCTCCCTCTCTTCTTCTCTCCCTCTCTGACTTTCTCTCTTCCCCGTTTCCCTCTTTTTGTCTCTCACGTTCTCTCTATTTCCCTGTCTCTCGCTTTCTCTTTCTCTCTCTTCTTCTCTCCCTCTCTCTGTCTCTCTCTCTCTCCCCCCTTCCCCTGTCCTCCTCTCTTTGTCTCTCTTCTTCTTACTATTTCCGTCTCTCGCTTTTTCTCCCTCTCTCTCTCTCTCTCATCTTCTCTCCCTCTCTCTGTCTCTCTCTCCCCCCTCCCCTGTCCTCCTCTCTTTGTCTCTCTCGCTCTCTCTATCTCTCTGTTTCTCGCTTTCTCTTCCTCTCTTCTTCTCTCCCTCTCTCTGTCTCCCCCATCCTCCTGTCTTTGTCTCTCTCATTCTCTCTATCTATGTTTCTCGTTTTCTCTCCCTCCCTCTCTCCCTCTCTGTCTTTCTCTCCCCCGCTTCCCTGTCCACCTCTCTTTGTCTCTCTCACTCTAGCTCTCTCTCTGTCTTTCACTTTCTCTCCCTCTCTCTCTCCTTCTGCCTCTTTCTCTCCTTCTCTCTCTCTCTCTCTCTCCTCCCCTCTCTGCCCCACCTCTCTCCCTCTATCACTCTCTCTCCCCCTCCCCTGTCCCCTCTCTTCTTTTCCCCCTCTCTTTGTCTCTCTCTCCTTATGTCTGGGCCCAGTACAGCTGATATGATACAGGAAGACTCTTGTGGGAGTTTTTTTACTTTACAAGGTTAAGTTTTAGATTTAGTGGCTGTTATTTCCTGTGACACTGGCCTATTATTATAACCCTTTATTATGAGTATTTAATTCCATCCATCCATTTTCTTCCGCTTATCCGGGGCCGGGTCACGGGAGTATTTAATTGTAGATTTTAATTTATTTTGAACACTTAAACAACAAAAATATTAAGTGCTTGCATTGTTTGTTTTCATTTGTATTTTCTCAGCATTAGAATGTGGTTACCTCATAAAATGTCAAATGATTCTTTCACACATGTTTGAGTAACCCTTTATTATTAGTCTGTCTGCATTTCCAAAGCTCAAAATGCTCTGTTCCACCTTGTGATGTCATGAAGGGATGGTTTTCAAGTTAACAGCCGCCTTTTACCTTTTGCTCTTTAGAGATTGGCAATTCCAGGGCTGAAATCTGATTCCAGTGAAGGTATATGATGTTTAAAAACACAGTGGAGCGCTTCCTGTATTACCACATGACATCACAAGGTGGAACAGACTGTTTTCTGCTTGAGAGAAGAACTAAATATACCGAGTTTGTGTGTTAAACATGTGTCACTGAAACAAAAAAACTACTCAAGACACGTTTTCAATAAGGAATCAATATGGGCTCTTTGAATAATCATTGCTGTACTTTGTACCAGACTTAGTGTTTAGTTTTGGTCTAATCTATTGAATTTACTGAACTGTGTAAATACTCTGTCATTTTCTCCATCACACTTGCATAACAGTTTCTCACAAAATGACCTTTGGTTTATTATGACCACTCCTTCACCTACACAAACTTCCTCTTTTGAGCTCATTACCGGAATATAAATGAGGGCTTTTGCTGTAAGGAAACAGGACTAGACATCTTAAGACAGAACATACAATTTATTTTTATGACATTTTAATTATTAGGATGCTTTCTCTAATTAAATTAACTTTATATAGTATCATGAATTGCTTTTCTAATTTAATTTGATCCAACTATACAATATTTCTTTAGTCCAACTTCACGTCAAAAGCTACTCAGATAATTAATGTACAATGTAACTGTTCTCATGCATTTAATTTCACACAGGAACATTATATTTCTAGATGCCTGTACATACTTGGTGCAGAGTGGTTTAATGAGCACAATGTTTGAGATTATAGCACCGTTGCTCATTGACAACAGATATATGCCTTTTCATTTATGGCAATTCAAATACTATCATACAATATTAGCTCTTGTTGGGCTAAATAGTTACACTTTTAGGTTTTATTCTCTCAAAACCTTTGCAGGAGACACACAAGGTTAAATCCTATTCTCTTCACCGCTGAACAGAGTCTGCTAATTTGAAACAACCTCACAGCCAAGTGTGATTTTGCACATGGATACTAAGAAGGGATGTTAGAACATTGTTACCTCTTCAAAAACACACCCGGACTTGTGTTTTGTTTCATTCACACATGTTTGAGTAACTTTGCATGATTAGTCTGTGTACATCACCAAAGCTCAAAATGCTCTGTTCTGTCTTGTGATGTTATGTAGTGGTAGTTTTAAAGTTAACAGCTGCAGTACCTTTTAGCCTCAATTGAACTGATTTGCTGTACGTTACTCTAGAACAGGGGTCACCAAACGTTTTTCTCTGAGGGCCACATTATCTTTCCTGACTGTGATGGGGGCCGGGGTCGGGTCGGCCGTATAACAGCATTGTACGACCCTGACGATGCAGATTATATTCTCTGAAAACCGCCACACTTTCTTTACATATCAGACAAACTGCACGGTCTTTACGCTGAACAAAAAAATACTTGGTTGTCCACTGTTCTTTGAAAACTCGGCACTCTGTCAACCTTTTTGTGCTTTAACATTCGCCATTTTTCTGTCCTTAACTGCACTACAGAACTCGTTGACTCGTTGATGCGTTGATATAAATATAAATACTTCATATAAATATCATTTTTAAATTGAAAAAATCAACAAAATACAAGAAAAAAAGTAACATAAAGTAAAGTAAAGTAAAAAGTACAAAAAGTAATAAAAAAAATAAATAAAAATAGGCCATGACAACGTTTTAGGATTGCCTCATAGGGCCAGTTCAAGTGGTGAGGGCAGTGGTGCTGGGAGGGGACCGGAGTCAGCCCGCGGGCCTTAGTTTGATGACCCCTGCTCTAGAATAACCATTAAAAAAAAAACATAAAAGTTTATTAAGAAAAACACAGTTTTACATTTTATTCAGTTGTTAGTCTTTGATATTTTCTGATGCACAATGGAGTGAAGAAAAGACTCAAACAACAGATGCTGCATAAAAGTTTGGCAATTCCAGTTTTGCATTATTCAGATGTTTCAAGTTTGAGAGAAGAACTCAGAAGAACTGGATCTGTGTGTTGAACATGTGTGACTGAAACTAAACACAACTCTACATAGATACACAATTTGCCCTTTAAAACTACAAAGCTTTGGTCTTTAGTGGACAGACATCTGCGTGCACTTATACACGGCTGGTGGCAGACCTCTAACAGACCCATCTGATCTGCCCCACACACTCACACACTCATAGACTTACAGGGGAGGGGGAAAAGGGAGGAAAAGTGGCTGAAGTCTTGTGTGATTTCTGTTTTCAAAAGGACAAACCTCAGCATTCACCTCCTCCCTCTATCTGCTCTGAATATAGGTCACTGAATTGAATTTCTGGACAGCAGCCAGTGTAGTCCTACTCCTCTCTCTCTCGTTCTTCCCCCCTCTCTTTCTCTCACGCCTCCTCTATCTCTCTCTCTCTCCTTTTCTCTGCCCCTCCCTCCCTCTTTCTCCCTTGACCCTTTTATGCCTGTCCACGTTGCTCTATGGCCCTGAATGAATCACAGGATGTTACTTTCTTCTTTTTCTGAGAGTGGTTTGAAAATAGCTCTGAGACTGTTAGTGGAAAACTGTCCGTTAGGTTGAGCTGGGCGGGGTTTTCAGTTTAAATATTCCCCTGGATGACCATAACTTTTGCTTTCAAGGCTAATACAGTGAGTGAGAGCTGTATATGAGAAACTGTGCAATGAAAAGAGCTGAATGCCCAAGAATATGTTCTCATCCATCCACATAAATGACTGCTTCGACTTCTAATGTAATGTTATATTACTTAAAAAGATCATTCCAGCTCATCTAAAATTAAGTAAAATTATTAAGTTCAAGTACTTTCTTTTAAAATGTAGATATGGGTGGAAAAAATCTTCAAAATGTAGTTTCAAATTTTACCATAAAGTAAACACAAAAAGTAAACACAAAAGTGACTCGTGGGCTTTTATTCGTGTTGGAATGTTGTTACCTCCTCAGAAACATACTTGGAGTTATGTTTTATTTCATTCACACATGTTTGAGTAACTCTTTATTAGTCTGTCTACATCTCCAAAGATCAAAATGTCGTGTTACAACTTGTGATGTCATGTAGTGGTAGTTTCCAAGTTAACAGCTCCTTTTAAACTTTTGGTCAGTACAAATTGGCAATGCCAGACCTGAAAATCACCCAAATTAGTCTAGTGAAGGTGTGTGGAGTTTATGTATTACCCCATGACATCACAAGGTGGAATAGAGTGTCTTCTGTTTGAGAGAAGAACTCAATTAGAGCCTAAATATGCAGGGTTTGTACGTTTTTGGTGATGAAACAACATTATAACATAGATCAGAAAATAGTGTAATACAGGCTTTTTTTCTTTTCTTTGCTGAATGTTAAAAATGACTACACTTACAGTTTTCCTTATATCAGTGATAAGGGAATGCAGTGAATTAATTTGTATGTTTTTATGTGTTTCCAGGGCAACTGTGGGTGTCTGTGAGCGGGGGGAAGGTGATGGTTTTCGACGCCTCCACATGGTCCCTCACTCACACCTGTCAAGTCGGGACCGCCAGACTGGTAAAGACATGCACATCTACATACGAGCTTATACATGACAGAGAGAAATGGTACAGGTTAGAAATATGCAGGTAAAAATACAAAATTCAAAAGGTAATCTGTTATAATTTATACAAAAATTTACAACTTAAGCGTGCACTGTGTATCTCTACTTTACATAGCTCTAAAATACCTAGAAAAATAGGCATTCTAACTGTGAGAGGGATCGTTTCTGCACAGATCTGACCTGTAACTTGGTCTGGTTTGGTCTCCATGAACATAGAAAGGTTTAAAACAGTGACAGTGACATAATGCAGCATATGAGAAGCCTTTTTAATGGTTCAATAAAATACATTGCACTCAAATTTTTCCTAAATACAACCTTTGCCATCAAAATTTGGGTTGTCATAAATGCTGATCTTTGACTAGTGTTTCTAATAACTGATTAATAAATATATAAATACCACATTTTTTTAAATTTATTTTTTCACTTGGGATCACAGCTAAACACTGTATGATACTTTGCATTATATAAAGAAATAAAAATATATAGATTTTTGTTAGATATTCTGTTAATAAAAGTAAAATAGGCTACCGCAATTTATTAAGGAAGTAACGCCCTCTATTCACTGTATTTTGAGGAAATCTTATCAACTTTAGTCATAACTTGCATGCCTTCAGAATCAGATACAGATAAAATTATTCTCCGTACATTTTTCCCTTCTGTTGATTTGGGTAAACATTGCAACTCCTCTATTCAAAGCTTGTAACCACATGTTTTTGAAGGGAAGACTTTTCAAAATAGTTTTTGGCTCGTCTTGATTCAAAACATCTGTACCAAAGTTCCATGGTAAAATATTTTGTTAGAGAAAGGTAAAATGTTGAAGTATAGTGTTAAAAGTAATAAAAGTATTTGGAGGCCCTGTGCAAATTGACCATAAATGTTCAAGTCACAGTCACATGAAGTAGGTTAACGTATTCTAAGGTATGAGAGAAGATTTTCAAATGTAAACCCACGTGGAGTTTATCACAGGGTCAAGAAATATTTGGATTTTCCAGCTGTTGAAGCGTGATGTCTGATGTGTACAATGAAGCAGTTGTAGTTTAAGTTACTGCTGAAAAATGTATGAATGCAAGAATTCATTCAGTTTTTGTGGAGATTCCCTATAGTGTCTCTATCTTGAGCAATGCTTCCCCCTAGTGGAGCCTTGATGTATTACAAAATATCATTGTTTTGAAATAATATAGATACATTTCAGAATATAACGAGAATGTACTCTTTTCTACTTACACAACTTATAAGGTGCATCAAGTAACTGTTCCTGTGAGGTGTTCGCTACCTGCTTGGCTCTATTGCTTCACCTGGAAAGTCCCACAGTATGGCATTAAACATATCTGTCTGGCTTTCATTCAGTTAGATGTATTGTATGAGTTAAAAAACAAAACAAAATGAGATTCCTTTGTGGAGGAGCTGGGCATTCCCTTAGAGATAGGGTGAGGAGCTCAGTCACATGGGAGGAGCTCGGAATAGAGCCGCTGCTCCTCCACATCGAGAGGAGTCAGCTGAGGAGGCTCCGGCATCTGTTCCGGATGCTTCTTGGATACCTCCCTGGAGAGGTGTTCTGGGCATGTCCCACCGGGACAAGGCCCTGGGGAAGACCCAGGACACTGTGGTAGGACTATGTCTCTTGATTGGCCTGGGAGCGCCTCAGTATCCCCCGGAAGAGCTGGAAAAAGCTGGTGGAAGTGTGTTTGGAGAGGTAAGTCTGGGCCTCCCTGCTCAGACTGCTGCCCCCGCGACCCGGCCATGGATAAAGCGGAAGAAAATGGGTGGATCTGCAGATTATTTTATTGCTAAAAAATATTTAGAAAAACATGCATTTTTACTGCGAGTGAGATTGCCTCTCAACAGATTTGACCAGTAACTTGCTCTTCTCCAGCAATATACTGTACGATTAATGCCATATTGTGGAATATTCAAGGCAAAGCAATTACATCACCATGGAGACAAGCAGACAAGCAGTTACAGATCCACTGGAATAAGTTACATAGCCTAACCTTGCATCTTAAAGTAAACAGCTTCTAGTTCTAGTAAAACAGCATAGCCTCAGATTTGATGAATGTAAACAGCGTCCACAGCGAGTTTTATTTTACTTCCAATATCAAAATGGTCTCAGGAAGTTATATTATGAAAGTCTCTGACTACCTTTGTGATGTTTGCCTTCTTTACCAGAACTGCATGCTGGGAGTGGACACAGACCAGGTGTGGATGGGGTCTGAGGACTCTGTGATCTACATCATCAGTTTGGTGTCGATGGTGTGTAACCGTCAGCTGACCGAGCACCGCGCCGAGGTCACCGGGCTCGCTCTGGACATGGATAAATACAAGTGAGGAGACACTGATTGCAAAATACTGAAATATACTTAAAGGGCCCATATTACACTATTTTCTGATCTATGTTGTAATGTTGTTTCCTCATTGCAAACAGACCTGGAATTGTGTTTTGTTTCATTCATGTTTAACACACAAACCCAGCATATTTAGACTGAGTTCTGTTCTCAAAAGGAAAACACACTGTTCCACCTTGTCATGTCATGTGATAATACAGGAAGTACCCCACTGTGTTTTTAAACTCCATATACCTTCACTAGAATTATTTGGATGATTAGCCTGGGAATTTCCAATCTCTGTTGAACTAAACTTAAAAAGTAGTTGTTAACTTGAAAACTACATCTGCTGTATCATGCTTTGGAGATAAATAAAGGGTTATTCAAACCTGTGTGGATGAAACAAAACATGACTCCAGATTTTCTTCATTCATCATGGCTTAAATCTCACAAGAGAAATTTTGTGTAATACAAACAAAGTATACATGGATACATAAAAAAATAATGCAAAGAGAATATGTCGGATATATTTTCCATTTACAAATTCATATTTCATAAACGTGCTTGTGCTAATCTTGTGCTTTGTCACTCAATTGCAATCATTTTCTGAATAAAAAACATGGCTTTTTAAATATATAATAATCAGCTCTTACTGCCTGTAAATATATGTGTACTTTGTTTTTCAGCCAGAAGGTGGCGTACTCCTGCAGTGTAGAGGGAACCGTTATGCTGTGGGACATCGCAACATTACAAGTGCGTATTTCTTACTAGAATGATAAAGGAGGAGAGCTTAATAGTTATAGTATTCTACAATATGTATTCCAATTTAGTTAAGCAATGTTCTAGCAATGCAGCAAATTTTTTATTCTGTTTTTTTATTTTTTCACTAAGGTAAAAAAGCACTTTCGTCTGAGCTGTGATCGTCTACAGTTTGTGACCAGTTACAATGGGACTCTGTGGTGCTGTAAGTCCCATAATTTTTTTTTTTATAGCTATTTAAGGAAACAATATAAACAACATAAACTCACCAGAGTGTATCGTCAGGTTCGAGGGACTGTGTGATGGAGGTGTGGAGGAGCGGCAACATAAGGCACCGTCTACATTTACCCGAACAGCAAAAAGGATCACTGGCAACTTTCAGCTCAATTCTGCTTCTGCCTGAGGTGCATTTTAAAATACTTTTGGCCCGTATTTATTTTTTTTTTATGTACTTTTTTACATCAGTATGATCAGTGTTGAGAAATAACTGAATACATTTACTGAGAATACGTTCTCTGAATACTAATTTTGAGCAACTGTATTCCAGGAGTTACTATTTCATTTGGTTTTATTCACATTACAGTTACTTTTGTAAAATCAAAGGAATATATTCTGGTATTTGATCATGTAATTACGTTTTAAACTGCACAGAATCAGTGATACAAATTGAAAACTCAGCTTGAAGTGAGTGCACGTGTGATTTTTCCATCTCCGGTTGGTGATAGGAAATGCTTTAAAAATGGTGAAACAAATATAAAGCTGTTTTTAATAAAATGTTGTGGATTTTTACACTATAATTTAAATGCAACTCGATGTAAACGTATCCAGAATACATTAGAAAATACAGTATTCTTCGCATCACTGAGTATGATGTGAAAATGTGACTCTGAGCTGTGTCTAATCAGTATATAAATGTTGTTTTAGATCGAGGAGATGTGGAGCATTTGTTCTGAATCTGGTGAGATCGCGATTTGGCACATGAAGGACAGGAGCAGACCATTTCACAGAGTTTTGCTGCCAGACTGCGTTGGGTGCCACTGTATAATCAAAGTCAAAAACCAGGTTTGTACACAGAATAATTCAAAGTTCTTTACCAAATAAGAAATACACTAAAATCACAATCAAACAAAGCAAAACATAACTACTTGTCATAAAATCAACATTAAAAGAGAAGAACCATTTCTGGTTTTAGGTAGATAGACTAAATCCCACTTTCACTTATAGAAACATGTATTTATTTCAGAATGAAAATACTTAGAGTAGTAAAGGAGGTTCGTTATGTCATATTGACTGTTAATATTTTAATCAGATTTTATTGTCTCTGTATTTGTTTGTGATCCTTTGAAAAGAAGTGAACACTGGATCATATACATAACATTAAAAACTGTTAAGCAGCAATTTTTCAGAAGCTAAAAGCACTGTAAATGATAATATGCTGCTTGTTGTGGTGAAATTAAGCATCTTTGAGTGTCCAAAAAAGCTCTATATAAGTCTGATGTATTAGTATTAGTATTATTATTAAGTAGTATTAGTAGTTTTGGATCATTTTGGTCAAACTGCAATATTGATCTGAGCATGTGATATATTTATTACTAGATAGAAGTATAATATGTCTTCTTCTGTTGTGTAGGTGTGGATCGGAGGCCTGGGCCGCAGTTCAACCAAAGGAAAGATTTATATCCTAGATGCAGAGCGCCACCAAGTGTTGAAGGAGCTCCATGGACACACAGACAGAGTGACTGGGCTGTGCTCTGCTGAGGACCGCTACGTGCTCAGTGGAGCAGCCAAACAGGATGGAAAAATCGCAATATGGAAAGTGGAGTAAAACCATTTTTAACTCATGAATGTTCAACACTTTATGAGGTCATTTGGCCTGAGAAAAAAACTGGGAAATACTGAAACGTTGTATAACGTTTGAATCTAACTCCAATGTGAATTTGAAATGAAGGCTCCATGTGATGGTCATGTGAAGAACAAAGATCTGTTTACAATAAAATCTCCAACAGAGCAGCCTCCACCTGCTGAGCAACTCCCAGTGTAAGTCCAACACAAGGATGACAAAACTTATGTAAAGGTACAGTTTGTAACTTTCTGGAAGTGGCAGGTCACCCGCATGACCCCATGGAAACAGGAAGTTAAAACATTACTTCGGAACATTGTCCATGGAGAGAAATACGTTTTGTTCCGTATTGTGGAATATTATAGCCAAAGGAACAACCATGGACTGTAGATCAGGAGGAGCCAAAGAGGAGGGTTTGTGGAGATGCAATCCAAAATGAAAAAATAAAAAAAGCAAAAACCTTATTTTATTTTAGTATTATTTTGGCCAAAACATTACATACTGTGGCTTTAACTTTGCTGAATAAACTAGTTCATTTATTTTTCATATTCAAACAGTGTTATACAGGAAGTGCATAAAAACTGAAACTGCATGTTCTATTGTTGCCTTTGTATCTCTGTCTATGATTGTTTTGGCTGGACTCAACATAAAGGTGCCATTACACAAACTGGAAAAATATACTTTGCACATGAAATGACAGATATTAAACTTTTACTAATGTATATTAAATGTCATATTTTATTATTTTAAGTATAACTCTTTGTATCATTGTAAACATTTTAGCTTTAACATAAACTATATTGTTGTATTATAAATGCTAGCAATGTAATTCTTGTGTAAAATAAGCGCAAGGCTACAAGTTGGTCAATTATTCACTACTCTCATGTTAAAAATTGTTTTGGACTATTATTATGCTTCAAGTCAACTGTAACAAATTTTATTTTAAAAGCAAAAAAGTCATACATGTTTTACATTAAAGTTTATATTTGACTGAATTCGATGATTGTAAAAACTGGATACATGTTATTATATTATAATCTGATAAAATGTATCAACAAAATGGATGTTTATATGTCTTCTATTCATTTAAAATTATGAATAGTCTAACATTTAAAGCTAATCTGTGCATACCTCCATGTTTCCATGGAGATGTTATTGCTTTGCCTGGAATGTTCCATGGTACGACATTAAACACATACATACATATAGCATTTGTTCATTACTAGTGTTTCTGTTGTTCAAAAATATAATAATCCCTTCTGTGAATAAGGGCGACTCTCCACAGATCTGAACTGTAATGTAGTGTAGTGCTGTAACCTGCTTGTCTACCTCGTGATTCTATACTCTGGAACATTTTACACAAAGCAATAACATTTCCATGGAGACAAGCAGGCGACGGACCCTCCACTAGAAATGCTACTTAGTGCACCTTTAAAGACGTTTCTTATCCGATCCATGTAGCTGCGTGTATTCTAATTCAATTTCAAGTTTTGGAGGATATTTAACCCACAAACTCTGAATATTTAGGTTAGTTCTTCTCTCAAACAGAAAACACTCTGTTCCACCTTGTGATGTTATGATGTCATGTGGCACTCCACTTAAGTAGAGTCATCTGAACTGAACAAACCTGAAAAAAAAAAAAAAAAACTGCACCAGGGACTACAGGTGGAAATTAGTGGCATGATGCATCTCTCCTGTTAAGGTTAAACCGCGGTTGAATTGGTTTGGTATTGGATAATGGATATTCGACACATTCAAAGACATTTAACTTGTAATACATATCACAGATTTTTTTCAAACAACTTGTGACGTCTTCATAATCATCCAGGGTATATATATCACAAGACAGTAATTGTTAAAAAAAAATACTTTGAGCTGATTTAGTGCATATTTGTGAATTCAACACTCATTTAACTTGTGATACAGATGTGGACAAAATTGTTGGTACCCCTCCAGTAAGGAAAGAAAAATCAAAAATGGTCAGAGGTCAATGTTTTTTTTTTAATAATTCATCAAATCAAACTTTATCACTTTTCATACAAAATTGCTTTTACAGTTTTCCGCATCCCGCATTTCACAACACACGCATCAGTCACAACAACCCATGGCAACATCACGGGACTAAAAGCTCACCTGAATACAGGCAAACAGTGATCAGACAGCAGTCCTCCAGTTTGAAAAAAATCCTGTGTGATGGTCTCCCTTGATGAATGTGTTGTCTGTGTCTAAATATCCAATATCAAACCAATTTAACCATGGTGTTAAGGTTAATGTATATCGTCCCTGTCTCATAAACTAACTGACTAAATAAACATAAAAGGTAGCTGTTAACAAACCTCTATCACTCCATGACATCACAAGGTGGTACAGAGGATTTTGAGCTTTGGAGATGAAGAAAGACTAATCATGCAGGGTTACTCAGACATGTGTGAATGAAACAAAACACAACTCCGGATATGTTTTTGATGGGGTAACAACATTCTAACACGACTTAAAGCTCACAAGAGTCAGTTTTGCGTAACGTAGGACCTTTACGTTTGGCTGTCACATGTTTTGAAATGTCTAGAATAAGCAGGCCTATTGAGTAACCTATATAGTCTAAAATAATTCATTTACAGCAATACTAATGTTGGGCACCTGTCAGCGTTTTATTAGTATTAAGCCAACTGATGGAATCACATTACATAATAAACCATGCGTCAGTGTGAACACATAAAAGCGTGTGCAGAAATATGAGTCCTTATATTGAACGTAGAGTATAATCCTATGAAGAGCAGGTTATTACCGGTCACTTCACATAATGTTCCCGGGACGTAACTTTAGCCTGAAGTCTCCTAAAGTGCATCCCTGACACATAACATCATCGCTGGCTGCTGCTGCCATATGCCGGGTTTAGAGTTTCCTCTCCGGTTTCCGCGCGCAAAAAGACGCACGGACGGAGGAACGCGCGCCCGGAGAGTGTCTGCGTGAGAGGAAATCTGATTCTGCAAAACACCAGACAGTTCAGGGGATTTTCTTCCTCTTTTCTCAGCGGTCTGATCCCAAACATCATGGGACAGCGGCTTTGAACCTGCTGATTTCAGACGTAAAAAAACAGACGTGAAAGTGCGCATCAGCGAGTCTGGGCAGATCTCGGGTCAGCGGTCAGTGCGTGGTGTTAGCTTTTCTAATGAGGGAAGTTCTTTCCAAATTACCAATGCTTTTTCTTTGTCCTGCTGCCTTTTATGGTAAACATACACTGTGTCTTTTGCACTCTCTTGCACTAACTTCAGGTCCCTGTTTAGTGCATCCATAAAGCTTAAAAAAAAACACCTTAGATGTTAGAGATTTTTCACCTCTGTGCTCTGGAACTTGGATAAACTGTGCCTTTTAGTTGTATTTGTTATTTGTACATATACATTTATATAATTATGCCTTATTTGACACCAGTCTCTGGCTATTTTTGCTACTTATTTAGAATTTATTATTACCATTTATATATATATATATATATATATATATATATATATATATATATATATATATATATATATATATATATATATATATATATCTTTGTTTGATATATAACACGGCGGAAATAGATATATGTTCGCATGTACGCTGTGGCAGGGTATAACACAGAGCATACTGGAGACTGAGAGGTACTGGAAAGGCATATGGGAAAGGGAGGCATACATAACACGATGCACAGTGGCTGGTGGATCTGAAAAACCACAGCAACCTCCCTGAACAGAATCCAGTCACCATCACAGTGGCAGACATCCAGGGAAGAGTCTCAGGTATGAAAAATTGGACCGCACCGGGCCGGACATATCCATGTATGGCTAAAGAAGCTCACTGCCCTCCACGAGCGCCCTGGCAGCACAAATGAACCAGCTGTAAGGGATGGGATCTCACCTGAATGGTATACGATCCTGATCCTGATCCTCAAAGGGTGCCCCATAACTATCGCCAATATGTGGAGCTATGCATATTGTAAGATATCACATGATCAATACATGAGCGCAGCACAGAAGTATTTTTGACCGTGCCCGCGATTGCAGAACCGTAAGACCAACCTTGCACTGCCTATTGATTACAAGAAAGCCTACGACTCAATGCCACACACATGGATCACTGAGTGCTTGAGCTTACAATATCAACAGGACTAAGGGCGTTCATTGCGAACTCGATGCGGTTGTGGAAAACTTGAAGCCAAGGGGAAGCCACTTGTTTGTCCATCAAATGTGGCATATACCAAGGAGACTCACTGTCCCCACTACTGTTCTGCATAGGCCTGAACTTCAGTAATCGACCGCATTATGGATACCGATCAGAAACGGGGCCACCATTTTCTACATGGATGACATCAAGCTGTACGCTAAAGAGTGAGCAGACATGACTCACTGATCCAACCACAAGTCTACAGTACAGACATTGGGATGTCATTCGGGCTTGAGAAATGTAGCATTGACAAAGAGAGGGAATAGTCACACAGAGGGGGTTCACTCCCAGAGGAACAATAGCAGACGTTGAGGACAGTTACAAGTACTTGGTTCACAAGCATGGCAACGTCGAAGAGGCAACAAGGAAAGCGGCTACGGCCAAATACCTGCAAAGAGTAGGCAAGTCCTTAGAAGCCAGCTCAATGCAAGAACAAGGTGCAGGCAATCAACAGCTACGCCCTGCCGTGATCAGATACCCTGCAGGATTGTAAGCTGGCAAGGAGGAGATACAGACCACAAATGTTAAGACACGAAAGCTCCTGACCATGCATGGAGGGTTCCATCCCAAATCCAGCACCCTGAGACTGTACGCAAGCCGGAAGGAAGGGGGCCGAGGACTAGTGAGTGTGGGAACCACTGTCCAGGATGAAACATCCAAGCTCCTTGAGTACTCAAGGACAAGGCCCCGGCAGATGAGGTGCTCAGAGAATGTCTCAGACAGTGGGGTCCAGAGGAAGAGGTGCTGGAGGGACCATCATGGCAGGACAAACCCCTACATGGGGCGTACCACTGAAGTGGCTGATATCAAGAAATCCTACCAATGGCTTGAGAGGGCTGGTCTGAAGGACAGCACAGAGGCACTGATCCTGGCTGCTCAGGAGCAGGCCCTGGGCACTCGAGCAATAGAGGCCCAGATCTACCACACCAGACAAGACCCACGGTGTAGACTGTGCAAAGAGGCTCCTGAGACAGTCCAGCACATAACTGCGGGGTTAAAGATGCTGGCAGGGAAAGCATACATGGAGCGACATAACCAAGTGGCGGGCATAGTGTACAGAAACATCTGTGCAGAGTACGGGCTGGAGACCCCAGGATCAAGGTGGGAACACCTCCAAGGGTTGTGGAGAATGACCGAGCCAAGATCCTGTGGGACTTCCAGATACAGACTGACAGAATGGTGATGGCGAACCAACCAGACATAGTGGTGGTGGATAAGAAACAGAGCAGAGCCGTGGTGGTTGACATCGCAATACCAAGCGATGGTAATATCAGGAAAAAGGAACACGAGAAGCTAGAGAAATACCAGGGGCTCAAGGAGGAGCTGGAGAGAGCCTGGAAAGTAAAGGCATCAGTGGTGCCTGTGGTGATCGGAGCACTCGGGGCTGTAACCCCAAACTGGAAGAGTGCTACAACAGATACCGGGAAAAACAACGGACATCTCAGTCCAGAAAAGTGCAGTACTGGAACAGCAAAGATACTGCGCAGAACTCTCAATCCCAGGCCTTGGTAGAGGACCCGAGCTCAATGAGGGTTACCACACATTTTATTTTTTATATATATATATATATATATATATATATATATATATTTCTTTGTTATTATAATATATTGTGATGTGTGAGCTACTGGGTCCAATAGGGGTGTGAAAAAATATCAAAATATTGATATATTGTATTGTTTAATGTGATGATATAGTATCGATATCATGGGCTGTTGTATTGCTATATCACCAAGAGTATTTTTTGGTATATTTTACTAAATGATTTTGTTACACGCTACAGTTTTGTTGCTTGTTTAGAGAAAGGAAACTTGTTTATTAATTAATCATTGCATTTATATAGCACTTTTCAAGATACCCAAAGTGTATTATAGTTCATTATTCATTCACTCCACACTTGGTGATGGTAAGCTACTACTGTAGTCACAGCTGCCCTGATGGAAGCAAGGCTGCCAATCTGCGCCAGAGGCCCCTCCGGCCACTCCACGCACACACCACTTCCATACTAGGCAATGTGGATGAAGTGTCTTTACTAAGGACACAGCAACAGTTTTTGCACCCCACTTTGGCAACTGTTAATTTCCAGTGGTCTCCCATCCAAGTACTACCCGGGCCTGGCCTTGCTTTATGCAACACATTTGACATTTTCACTGTTTTGATGAGTAAAATGGGCGTGTTTCATATGAACTTTGCACAATAAGTGGTTTAACAAAGACTTTTAGTATCACAGCCATTATTTGGCCTTTATTTTTTACTGAACCGCCTTGAACTGATTTGAAATACATCATATTGAACCAAAAGTGCACTATATCGAGATATGTATCGTATTGTGGCCTATGTATCGAGGTATGTATTGTATCAGCAACTTCTTAATGATACCAGCCCTAATGTCCAAGTAATTTCCGCTGTAGATCAATAAAGTTTGTCTAAGTCTAAGTTACATAATTTTAAAAAGATATATATATGTAGACATTTTGAGGTGACCAAAATACCTCTCCGGGTCAGGGTTGACCAAATACTACCAGAGAAAATAAAAACAGGAGTCATTTTGGTTTAGTTGAACAGAGTTTAAAGGTGCGTTCAATACAGTGTTCATCCAGAGTCCTACATATGAAGGCTCAAGCATATGTACATACATAGAGATATATACAGTCTTTATATAGAAAACAAAACTAACAAAAATAATCATCTTTTTATAGCAGCAAAAAAGAAACTAAAAGAGAATTAGGTATATTTACATCTTTTTTTCCAAAATAACAAGGCATATATATTATAGTACACTGCGCATACGTGCTTTCCCATTCTTTAAGTAATCTTCTTGACTCGGCCTCTCAAGTTCGAAGAATAATATAGGCAACTTTCTCAACTCACTGAAGGCAGAACTAAACCAGGCTGAGGTGGATTATAAATATTACATTGCCCCTGTGTTGTCATTAAAAGACAACTCAACATTCAAAGATCATCTGAGCGGCACTGGGAGCACCTGTTTCGGACGCCTGCTAAAGCCAAAATGGCCGCCACGGGGAAAGTGCAAACTTGTGTGGTGTTGTGGCCCTGCCTTGAAGAAATAAACAAAAATGTGAAAGCGTAAAGACAATATAAATATCTTTTCTGTATTGCAGCTGTCCAGAGAAAAGTGTAAACCGGTTTTGATTTTAAAAACAAACACTGAGATGACATATTTAAACACACCTTTTAGTAACACCTCCCATAACAGCAAATAAGATCAGGTTTCATTATTCATTTGGAAACTATATGTGAAAAATGTCTCAAAAAATAAATATCAGTTCTTCCTTTTGCAAAACAATGCTTTTGTAACTTTTTAACATGTGCAAGTTTGGTGCAACCCTCTTGGCTTTTTATCACTTCACATTCATTCATAAAGATGGAATCAAGAACTCAACTTCCCAGCATGCCGAGCGAGAGGTCAATGCTGTCAGGACATTCCCCAGTCTATATATAAAGTATATTTTGTGTTTTTTTTTACGTAGAAAAAGGCTTGGGACGAGACGTATACAACTGCATGGGAACACTTCAAGTATGGCGGTTGTTGCCTTAGAAACGGGGAGCGTCTTTCTAACATTTTGAGGTGAGCTGTGCAAAAACATCAGAAGTCACATGCGATTTTAAGAGTGTATGGAGTCTAGTTTAAGTCAAGACTCGAGCATTTTTCAAACAAAATACAAATACATCCAGCCATGCATTTTTCAGCACACACATCCCCAAACAGCCGATCGACAAAAAGCTCAGTGACTGCCTCTACATACTTTGGTGTCTCATGCATATTGCTGTTGCCACATGCAAATCCGCCCAGATCTCTAAAGTTTTATTAGCTCAGTTTGTCCTTGTCTGTTTTTAGTCAAGGGAGAGTGATTCCCTGGAAAAACACAAAGCTCTCAATAATTTCAAAGCCAAAATGATGTAATCTGCACTGAGATTAACTGAATGTACCTGAAACTTAAAAATAGGAATCAAAACTTTTGAGAACTTCTCTGTTAAATTATTAAACTATCCATAAAACTACCAATATGTAAAAAATAAGGTTAATTTCAGCTAACATTCACCACTGCAATTTATTTGCATGTTAAAACTCACAGCCTTCATCAGAAACTAATTATTTGCAAACCCTGGCCAACACATAAAATTCTCATCTTTCATAGACGGTATATATTTTTAAAAGGCTGTTATTGCAACAAATGGTCTGATTTGTCAAAACACGAAACACAATCACTATGAATTTTTCAAATCTTAACAGAAAGAAACTCCCCCAAATTCTGAATAAAACCCTTCGGCATACTTTGCAGCCTCCCAACAATAATATTTTAAAAAGACTCCCCTAAATATTGAAATACCTAAGTCAATGCAAGTATTTCTCCATGTAAAAATCAACATTTCCACATTTTTGTAACTGCTATAACTAGCATATAATAAACCCTAAGCCTCCACCAAGCCGTTTCTATCCTTTTGTAAACCCTCATTCACACACAACACAAGTCATACAACATGACTTCTTTCCTGATTAAATTTGGCCCAAAATACAGTGGACCCATCTCGCACTTTAAAGTCAACCCTGTCGTACTTATAGGCTACATATTCCCGACAATCGAGGCATCATTTTTACACTGAGCACAACAAAGATGGAAGCCACTTCAAAAATAACATATTTTTAAACACTCAATGGCTCAGCGAGTTGTGCTAAAACAGCATCTTCTGTTAAAGTTAAATCAAAGCTGGAGGAGGAAGACCGTCCCCTCTCTTGTTTGGTACGACATGCAGCATTAAGGTTGTCTAAATTATGTAATCAAAATAAACCTTGATCTGTCTACGTCTGTGAAAAATATGTAAGAGTGTAATGCCCTGTATACTGCACATATTGCATCTATGCTCATTTGTCCTGGAAATAACCTAATACACATTTTAATATAAGTGAATGTACACCAATCAGGCATAACCTCATGAGCCTCTCTTACACAGAGCCATATTTCTTTCTAAAAATCAGCTTGGTCACCTTTTACTTCTTCCAATACATCATCATTGATTCTAGCTTGGACCACTTTTGGCATCCACTCTGATCTCGTCATCTAGCCTTCACTATTTGGCCCTTGTTGAAACTTGCTTAAAAGTTTTGAGCAACTTTTAAAGTGGTCATTAAGTTATGCCTGATTTGAGTACAGGCTACTTGAGCAGATCCTTTTGTCCTGAACAAAGACATGTAAAGTAGGGCAGTATTAAACATTTGGGATCAAGCAGCAACAATGATCCGTTTTCAGGCTTTTGAAAAATGCCACTTCCAAATGTCTTAAAGCTACTGCGGTGGAGCACTGTCCAGAGTCCCACGAAGCAGTTTTGTAGTTGTTTATTCTCAACAAAGTCAGCGAACATCCAAAATGGCTGACATTCAATCAACTCCACAGCAAGGAAGAACGGTTTCATTTTCAGTGTCCGTTTCTGGTTTTGATTGTGTTTTAGTCCCCTGAAGATTTTTTGTTTATTTTTTTCCAGGCGGTGGCTCAGTAGCACCTCCTAGAGGCCCTGAGAGACACGACACAAACTCCTTATTTAGAAGCATCACCGATAAATTAATGACTTCTGGCTAATCAGTCTGTAGTCCATTGAAAGGAGAAGTGGAAGGAATTTCAAAGATGGCCAACAGCGAATGATTTTAACTTTTAAATATTGGTCTGGTGTGACACTGGTCCCGTTTAGGATGGTTTTATCTCCTAGAACCAGGAACAAAATCACTTCTCTGTCTGTTACAATGTGGACGGAGACTCTCAAAAGTCAATGAACGTGTCTTTTCAACCAATCACAGCGCAGACTCGTTCTCTGTGTGATTCGCAGAGGTGGTGGTGGTTGCCTTCCCCTCTTTGTTCAGTTTCCAGAAGCTTGGTTTCTCCTTGACGACGACTACAGCGACAGAGTTCTCATTGGGGTTTTCCAGCGTCGTCAAAGCTTTTTTCTCCGAAGCTTTGGTTGAATCTGCATCACTGCTGTTTGGAGTAGGGTAAATCACCAAGAGCCAGGCTGTGAAGAAACCGAGCAGAGAGCCCCCGGAGGCCACCATGGGAATGACACGTACACTGCCCACAGCTTCCACTACGGCTCCCAGCGCTGAAGCCACCAAAATCTGACTGATGTACACCTGAAATGTAATGAACGGTGAGTTAAGATCTGCTGAAGAAGTAAAGTATGTGTGCAGAGTAATAAAACAAGTATATATTTGTAATCATTTAACTAGAACTGCACCTGGCAGGATAAGATCGCACAGTCGATACCAAAGCCTCTTCTTGAGTTACCAGGGCTGTGATGGATGTACTGTAAAAAAAAATAAGATAAGTGATTAAGATGAATCAATTACATCACAATTATAATGTATTTGACTTTTCCAGATGCTTAAAGACAATTTACAATTTCGTGCATTATTAATTCACTCTATACTCAGTGGTAGTCAACTACAACTGAAGTCACAGCTGCCCTGGTGTAGCAAGGCTGCCAATCTGCACCAATGATTCCGTAACACACACCACATTCATACTTAGGCAAGGTGGGTGAACAAAAAGTTGGTAAAATTAATTATACTTTATGCTTGTAGTGTTATTGTTGACATATGGCAGTAACCATCTTTAATCTGTAATGTGTGTTTTTTAATGAGTAATAACAGATATTTATACACCAAAATATTGTATGAAAGAAAATAACTTAAATGGGCATCGCTTGTGCCACCAAAGTCTTCATGTAAACCTGTGGGAAACACTGAGACTAATTTGATTTACTACATACCTCTTTCATTTCGTGGTATTGTCCTAAAAGAGCATAGGGACAATAGCAAATGCTCATGGAGATGATGCCCATGCTGCTGATCATGACCATGGCAACGTACACATTGGGAAATAACGCCATGACCGCCGTGCCTATAAAATAAGAAATAATTTGTTTAAGCATTTAAGCATCTGTGGTGATTTGATGGTGATTGTATGATGTATGTTCATGTACCTATAGCAAATGCAAGTGTTCCCAGGATGTAGATAACCTTTATGCTCAAGTCAAAGTTGTCCAAGTATTTTTGAAGGATCGCTGAGTGAAAAAGTAGAATACAATTTAGTGACAAAATGAATCAACATATGAAGTGTGCAATGAATAATTATAGTTATAGTTACCTGAACATGTAGCCGCAGTTAGAGCATATATAACCAGCCCCCAGCACCCCATCTGAACACCATTCTGGTAGTTTTCAAACTCAGTAGTGTTTGAAGGAGCCTAAAAAAGTAAAATTAAATTTTAATATAAAAATGACTAACTAAAACCGCAATATTGAATAATTAAAACTGCAAATTGAGTGGCGTACAGTGGGATCTCCATGGTAAATGACTTGTCCCATGAAGTCTGTGAAGAAAACAGCTTCAGCGATGATGGAAAACCAGGTGAGGAGGTGGCACACGCACAGACGCAGCAGCTCAGGAGGCATCTTAAACATTGACAGCCACAAGAGGCGCACTGTGGTCTCAACCTAAGACAGGAGGAGGAGGAGGAGGAGAGTCAAACAACACAGCTAAAATCACCAAGAGAAGAGACTGCAAAGGAATCAAGAGTTAGAGTTTGCTGTTCAAGTCAGTATTGTGTATAATTCACTGAGAGATTCAGTCCTATTTTCAGTTACGGTTTAGGCTTAGTTTTTAAGTGAATCTTTGTTTGGAGAAAGAGCTAATTAAGTCCTTTTCTGCTCGCCTATTTATTACAATTAGTAACCAAGTGTAGCAAGTGCAAAAGCATTTTTTACAGCAGAAGTGCCAATTAACAGAGAAGACAATGATGTCCTCTCAAAGCCAAATATTCTCCTGTAGTCTAACAAATACTGAAAATCAAACTGAAATAACAAAGAAATAAACAGGGGTGATTCCGGCTCCATTGGCTCTGTTTCCAATTGGCTTTACAGTGAAAATTTGCTGCATTGAGTCTCGTAATTTTGCTCTTAAAATGTCCGTATTAACCTGCTCTACATGGTCCTGGTGGTTAGGAGTTTAATGAGACAAGATTCACCTCCGAGAACAAGACAAGACGAGATCTTTATATAATTTTTAATACGTAAATTGTGCCAAGTTCATGCCCTATAATTGCCAGCATCATGAACTTCATTTAACTGGAACTGAATGCTACAGGTGACATCACACTCCCTTAGGCCACTTCTTTATACAGTCTATGGACTAAACCAGGGACTTAATCAAGACTAGAACAGTACAAAACCAAGTCTACATCAGGACTAAACTGGGTTCAAACCTTGACCTGTATGAAGTGAAATCCCAAACAATAATATAATAAGATATTTGTCCCAGAATGAGGAGTGTTCAAAAAGAGTCGGAGAATAAGAAAACCATACACAAGATAAATAACTAGTAACTGTGATCATTGTAACTGTAATAATTATAATAACTGTAATAACTAAGTAAAAGTATGTAAATAACTACCATCTTACTAGACAGTTAGTATTTCTTTGTGTGGAAATATACCTCTCCCTCTTCGCTCTCTGTGTCCCCGCTGGAGGAGTTGGTATTCCCACTCCGATGTCTGTTCCTTTGCTTGTTTCTTCTGCGGTGACGGGCCTCCACTTCGTACAGGTCATTCATGCTGCGAGACGGTTTGATCAGGAAGGCAGCGTTGGCTCTGCGGTAACGGTAACGATGGCTCCCCACGCGCCCGTAGTACGAGAAAGTGCAAGATGGCTGCCGGTAGAAGGTGTGGCGATAGCGAGAGTGACGGACAGCAGCTCCGGTACTGGCAGCTACAAAATACACAAGAAAGTAAAGAATTTGTTTTAGTAATTCTGTGTACTTTTATTATTATATTACTATTTATAATGGCTTCTGATATTCTGGTTTCTTTATGTCTTTTGCTGTCAGTGTTGTTCATTGCTGTGTTGTTTGTTCCACTTTGTGATGTCATGTGGTAATACAGGAAATGCTCTACTGTGTTTTTAAACTCCATACACCTTCACTAGAACCATAACAATTATTACAGACCTGGAATTGCCTATCTCTGCTAAACAAAAACTAAAAGGTAGCTGATAAATTGAAAACTATCACTTCATCACAAGGCGGAACAGAGGATTTTGAGTTTTGGACATTTTGAGCTTTGTAGACAAACTAATAATAAAGACTTACTCATACAAACCACAACTCCAGCTGTGTTTTGAAGTAGTAACAACATTATAACATGATTTAAAGTTCACAAGAGTCAATTTTGCATAATAAAGAACAGTAAAGAGTAGTTCTGTACTTTTATTATTATCTTACTATTTATAATTATTGTTCCTGTTATTCTGGTTATTGTTCCTGTTATTTTGGTTTCGATATGTAGTTATTTAACTTAGTTCCGTATGTCTTTAGCTGTCAGTATTGTTCATTGTTATGTATTAGTAAATTAAATAATTACTTTAGTAAATATAAACACTACATATTACAGTAAATCTTTCAGAAAATATTAATATCATTGTGACAGTTGTGATGTGACTAAAATCTGAATGTCCTGACATATATTGGTTAATTTAAAACTATGAATCAACTGTCAAAAGTAGAGATTAGAGAGACTACCACAATATTTCAAATGATCCCTAATAATAATGTTACAATAATCTTTGGGCCAAGACTTTTTCACATTTTGTTTCATTTTACAATAGATGATTTCACTTTCACATTATGAATAAAATTGGATTAGAGTTAGAATTGAATTTACATTTTAAGATTAAACACCCAAATTCTATTATTTCCCAGTAATCTACGTGTGATCTTCAGTGCTTTATGATCCAAAATCCAATCCTTGCCATTCTCACCTTTGACCATCCCAGCGCGGTGAGCTTGACCTTTGCTGCTGAGCTTGTGACCATCACCGCCTGATCCGTCACCGTTAGCTACACCTGCTAACAGCCTCCCATTTAATGTACGCTGCTCATTCAGTTGATTATTTAGCAGCGCCTCTTGTCCGTCGTCATTCTCCATTTCTTGCAAAAACATTGACAGTCGGGATATTTTGGGTATGTGCGTTTGGTGGTGATGGTGGTTGACGTGCGGGCGGAGCAGGTCTTGGCTTCCTGCGCTGCTGCTGCGTCGGATGTTAGCGTTCCCCGGGGGAGGCGTGGCGTGGTGGGGAGGGAAGACTGATGTAGAGGCTGGAGGAGAGGAGCTGTTGTACGGAGACAAGCGATCGGCAAAGATGGACGGCTCCAGGTGACACAAGAACCAAGAGTCGTGTTCGATGTGGTCCAGGGTCGCGTCAGCCATGGCCAAAACACTGTCACTTTTACCTGAGGAGAGACGACTACATTAGATATGCAAGATGGAGAAGCAGCAGCTTGACTTGGAATACTTCTACTTCTATGTCTCCATGTAGATAAATAAATTTAATGCCACACTGTGGAAAATACAGGGAAAAGCTAAAACATCTACATGGAGAGAGGCAAGTGGTGAATCCTCCACCAGAAAAGTTTCCAGGTTCACTTTAAACTGTGCAAAATGTAACTTTTTAATAGGGGGTGTGTCACCTGCTTGTTTCTATGGATATGTCATTGCTCTGCCTAAAATGTTTCAAAGGACATTAAAACTATACTTTACTTTTTTTTAATAACAGGTGATCTTATAGCTGAAAAATACCTAAAAAAAACTGGCATTCTAATTGTGAGCATGGTCACCTTTCCACAGATCTGACTTGGTCTGGTTTGGTCTTTCCAGACAAAGCAATAAAATCTCCAGTTAGAAAAACATTTGATGGATCCTCCACCAGAAAAGTTACACAATGAACCTTTAAGGCAACAGACAGAAAGCTAATTTCCAAATTAACCAACCAACCCCTCCACGTGTTTATTTATTGTTTATTAATGTGTGTTAATTAATCAAATTAGTACTATTCTGAGACCTCCTGGACATTCCCAAGCTTATGTTCCTATATATATTGTATACAGAAATTACAGCACATACTGGAAATGTGATTTTGAACACAGTAACTCATATCAGATCTCCAATATCCGAGAGCTCAAGATGAACTGAAAAGCAATAATTGACTTACTCCTCACAAGCTCCACCTCCAGGAAGTCCATGTCCATATCATGCTCTGACTGGTCATCTCCGTAGTGGTCATATAGGTCAAAACTGTCCATTGTTTCATCTTCTCCAATCATCTCCAGTTTGGGGGCGAGTAATCCTGCCCTCCCATTGGTCGATGGTTGAGACTGGGCAGGATCTGGACTCTCCTGAGGGAAGACACAAGACAGAATATATAAGTAACTCACTAATAAAACAGATTATATTTTAGGACGTGTTTAACCATTGTAAGAGCAAGGGCTTTTGGAGGTCATTGAGCTTGGAGATGGTCAGCATTAATTAATTCTAGGCTCGATCTCTATTACATTGCATGATCGCCCCTAGTGCTTTGGCAGAAGTTTAAATAACTTTCTTAAAAACTTATTATACACGTTTGCATAATGATCTAACCTGGTCAAGACGGTCGTGCTGGGGCATGTACTGCTGCTCCTCGATGCTGAACAGGTGGAGGGCAACAGACCCTGTGAAGAGGATCGCAGCGAAGAAGAACAGAATCTGCTCTTGAGATTTAAAGGCTGCTCCCAGAAACGTGTGGGTCCAGTTGAGTCCTCCCAGAGCGTACCCCACCGCACCACCAAGACCTAAGAGACACATACGGAGTCATTCACCAAAAATCTACTAAACTATATTTGATTTTTAGCACCCATTGCATTGATTTTTTTTCTGCACATCTGTTTTAATATTAAATGTATTATGATTATTTATGTTTTAATTTGTTTATATTGTGATTTTAAAGTATTTCTTATTCTGTAAAGCATTTTGAATTACTTTGGGGGGAATTGTGCTGTACAAATTAACTTGCCTTGCCAGTAGAAAAATCATAATAAAAAAAGAAAATAAACCATGGCTACACTGAAAGCAGAATCAATGAAAAAACGTATTTGTAATTATCGTCATTTAAATAGTTAGATATAGTTAAAGCAGGACTACATGGTGATAGAACTTAAATCACTAAACAAAGTCCGAATAGAAAACAAAAGAGTAGCATTTTCTGTTATATTGTTCTTCGTTGTATTATTTGTTGGCTTGTCACAGTAATTACTATGTGAAAATATCGTTCAATACATGTTAGATGGAACTACGACTTTTTGGGGGTCAATATTTATCGAGGGTACATCTCTGCTTTGTGACTCTCTACATCTCCAAACTTCTATGACTCATTTCTTTTTGCAGCTCATGTTCATTAACAAAGCTGTTCATAGAGAATAGTTTTTTGAGGGAAATCCTACTTTAGTGATATTGTGTCAGTGGCATAAATTGGTTTCAGTATTAATGTTTATCATCTACATTTTCATCAGAAATATATTGTACTTTTGTTTTGTTTTGTTATCGTGACAGGCCTGTTTTTCATTTGGGTGTGGATTTGGGCAAGTGTGAAGTCCTCAGGGCAGAGAAATATTAAACTAATGGAAGTTTGGCAAGTGGAAACAAAAAATCTGGCAAAGTGAAATATGAAGTGCTTATAAAGGATGAACTGTCAATATCTTGTACCACGTAACATTTTGGGTGGAGGGTCCTTCATCTACATTTTCATCAGCTGTATATCGTACATTTGTTTTGTTTTATTATTGTAACAGGCTTAATGATTTGTACCAGCCGATGCAGCGTGAATGTTCAGGGCCATGTCTTGTTCTTCAGTGTCAGCCACGTCTAGCAGGTAGGCTCGGATCGGACCCTCCGTTGCATCCGCACAGAAGTCCAGGACCACCACCCCCAAAACAGTTAGGACTATCCCTATAGGCTGACTCCCCTGCTCGTCGCCCAACGCCAAACCTGCAACAGATGAAGAACAACAACAACAACAACAGTTTAATAATCATTTACAACAATATATACTATGCACTACTATATCCCATGTATCTCTATAATAGTTGTTTACAATGGAGTACAATAATTTTACAATAATAAGTAGTAGATAAGCAAAAGATATAATACTAGGAGATAAACACAGTGGTTTGTCATGATAAATAGCATTCCACATACAACAATCTATGATTAACTAATGAACCAAAGCAAATTTTTTGTATTAAATTGGCCATAATCTCAGTTAAAGGTCCTATATTATGCAAAATTGACTCTTGTGAGCTTTAAGCCATGTTAGAACGCTATTACCTGGAGTTGTGTTTTGTTTCATTCACACAAGTTTGAGTAATCCTTTATTATTGAATGAATGGAGTTTACAAACAAGGCGGAACACTTGTATTATCATGACATTAGGTGGAACAGAAATTTGAAATTGAAATTTAACACACAAACCCTAAATTATTCAAGGTTTGTATGTTAAATTGTGTGAATGAACCAAAATACAACTCCAAGTATATTTCTGATGAGGAAACATTATAACATTATCATCAGAAAATAGTGTAATATGGGCCCTTTAAGAATTATTGTTCCGTGAGAAAGAAATACAATACGAGTTATAAATACAAGCCGATTATTCATTTGCAATTTGTAAGAATGAATAATGAGCTTGTATTTATAATTCTGCTCAGCTGCTAAAACAATGCTGGTTATTGAAGGCCATGTGATTGGATGAACTCCCGGTGAACTAAAAACATGATCAATAAGTGATTAGCTTGGTTTCTGTTTGCATGGACACTTGTCACTACACATTACCCACAGTGCATTGCATCAACCCCATCTGCCTCACAACATCTCTGACCTCATGTAAGCTGCTTAGTGCTTCAGCATGATACGAATGACCCAAATATGACATGGGAACAAAATGCATTAATGTTCGGAAACGTTCATAGAAAATGTCAAAGGGTGAGTCAGCTTCAGTGTGTACTATGGTTCTGGACAATGGAGTGGTACTGCTTGCTTGAACGTGATTGGTCGAATGCAGGAAGCAAACAGGAAGCAAATCCCTGTGAACTGCCTGCTCCTGGGTTCCCATGTCAACACACACCACACGTAGGCACCAGCTCTTAAGATTACTATAGGAGATTTTCCCATGATTTCTGTATAGTATAATGCATATATTTATTCCATATTTATATATAAACGTACACAAAGCAGCGGCAGCTTAACCTAGAATACATGACAGATCAGAAAAATACTGACCCTAATTCACAAGAACATCTGTGGATTGATGACGGGATCATGGTGTACCCAAGCATGATATTTAACTACTAACACTTTTAAACTTAATTATTTTGTTTTGTTTATGCAATCACAAAGATACCTGGAGTTATGTTTTGGTTCATTCACACGTTTAATTCACAAACCCTGCTTATTTAGGCTGAGTTCTTATCTCAGACTTTTTTATTTTCCTTCTCTCCAACTTCTGATGTCATATGGTAATACAGGAAGTGCCCCAAGTTTTTTTTAAACTTCATTCACCTTCACTAGAATCATTTGGATGATTTCAGCCCTGGAATTGTCAATCTGTACTGAATGAAAGGTAAAATGTAGTTGTTAACTTGAAAACTATCGCTCCATAACATCACAAGGTGACGCGGCACATTATGAGCTTTTAGACACACTAATAATAAAGGGTTACTCAAACATGTGTGAATGAAACAAAACACAACTCAATGCATGTTTTTGAGGAGGAAACAACATTAAACCATGGTTAAAGCTCACGAGTCAATTTTTCGTAATATAGGATGTTTAATTATTAGTAACTGATTTAGAGTAATTTTCAGCTGACATCAAATGTAGTGAAGCCTTTTGATTAATCATACACCACCCTCCACGTTGCTGAATTAGCGTTTTCCTCATTTCCTATCACAGGTAAACTGGTTTGTTTTGTCTGAGTCTGACCTTGGCTCAGACCACAGCACAAAGAGTAGAACAAGATCTGCTGACAGAAATAACATCTGTTGCTGTTATTTATATCGCCATTCAAAATCCATTTCACGTTGCTCTATGTATTCACAGGCCCAGAATGTTGTGTGACATGATTGTAACCACCAGCAGGAGGTGAGAATATGGTGATAGATTTTAATTATGTTTGCATCAATACAGGGTGCAGTTTGGGTGTGTTTTTTTTTGGCCAAGTGTGAATTCCTCAGGGCAGAGAAATAATTAAACTAATTGAAGTTTGGAAATTTGAACACAAAAGATCTGACAAAACATATTAAGTGTTTATAAAGGGTGAAGTGTCAATATCTTGTACACTAAAGGTGCACTGCGTAACATTTCTAGTGCTTGTCTCCATGGTAATGTTATTGACTTGTCTAAAATGTTCCACAGTATAGACTAAACCTGCCTATCATGAGGGAGGCGGGCAGGTTGCAGCACTACATTACATTACAATTCAGATCTGTGGAAAGGCACATTTATTAACAGAGGGAATTACAGTATTTTTCAGGAATAGAAATACTTGTAATGAATAAATGCTAGATGGATGTGTTTAATGACATGCCATGAAGTACTAGCCAGGCTGGTGCCACCTAGTGCCTCCACTCAATTTCATTTCTCTCCAGCGACTAGATCAGGAATTGGAATACATTAGATGGTTCGCAAAAACCCCGGAAGTGTGAGTTCGGGCACCAGCCAATCAGTCATACATTCTGTGCTGGCAACGATTCCTGAGATCGAGGATTTAAAGCCGGAACAAAGAGAATGTTTGGTGAATTTTATTAAGGGGAAAGACGTTATTGCCCTTCTTCCTACGGGATGAGGGAAAAGCTTAATATACCAGTTATCCCCGTTAGCACATTACATACGTCATGACCAAACAGCAGTGATTGGTTAAATAAAAAAAGTACCTGTCTACTGTCGAGCAAACAAATTCTAACGCTGCAAGGTCAGACGGTTTCTATAAAGTGAAACCGGCTGATGAATCAGGCTAATGAAGCACCGTGCAGCTAGTAAATTTAATAACATAGAAAGAAGTCATGGTTTTATATTAATTTCTTTTATCTAATCATTACATTACTTCATTACTACATTACTTCTTTAACTTGTTCCAATGTAGCCCTGGTAAACAATCTATTCGCAGATTTATACATAACTGATTACACAAGAAACAGCTGACATAGACATAGACATAGATAGATCTATACTGGTGTAGCGTAGCCTACAGGTAATCAATGAATGTGATTGTATGTAAATGACCTTAGCGTGTTAGCACTCGGAGTGATGTAATGACATAACATCTGTTTCTCCAATGGACCAGGACAGGGACAGCTTTTGGCAAGGGATGCTCCAGTTACTGTAATTACAAATGTTTTGACCCAGTACAAGTGCATGCTGGGTAAATAGTTTGGGATGACAAACCTCTGAAAGATGCTAGTTTGTATTGTATTGCAATGCCTGCATAACCCATAGTATCAGATCATTCTGATGCAGCCTTACTAATCATATTGCAAAAATCTTGGCCTTTTTTAGAGCTGCTTTCCAAGATTAATGGTGAATGCTGTTACATAATCCTATTACTGAGAAAACAGCCATAAAAGTCTTCAGTGCTCTTAAATTGTGATAGGGAGGAGAATGCCAGTAGCTTGTGTTTTATAAGGAATGTAGCATTTATTGAAATCCCTCGATATAATATTTTCACAATATGCAAGTCATGGTACGATACTGATTGCGATATTTTATGGAGACTAAATTGTGAAATATGCTACTTTTTCCTTTAAAATTCTTTAAAAGTTCTTTTATTCTGTCATAACCCAAAAAAACTTAGATTTAAAATTGTTAAATAACATAATTTCTTCATACTGTCTGTGCTGAAATGGAGCAAAGGATCATGGGCTATGTAGTTCCCTCTGCTTTTTTAGCTGATGCTGCACCGTAACAATGAATTTAAGCAAAGGACTAAGTAATTCGATATATTATGATGGTCCATGATATTACTATGAGACTTTTGATGATATCACGATATTTCAATTGTTGTTACATCCCTAGTTTTTATGTAGTTTGTAAACTTGGACAAGAACCTCTGTTAAGAGTTTCTAGAAATGTGAGTTTCAGAAATGTATGTGGACATGTACAGTTCTGGACAGTACATAAAGAAGGCTGGTGTTAAAGCACCAATGTGTTACTTTTTAGCCAAAAATAGACTAAAATAAAAGCATGTTTTTATTTAGATGTTTTTCTCTCACTGAAAAACTTTGAAAACAACGGTGAGCAAGCTTCCTTTTGCTTGTTTCAATAGAAATGTTGTTCCTTTGGATATAATGTTCCACAGTATGACGTAAAACACAATCTGTCTCCATGAAGAATGTTTCCAAATATGGTTCGAAATTGCTCTTTCCATGGCACTTCCAGAATGTTACACAATGTTACTTTACAATAGGAGAAGACAAGGAGTGTAGATGTAGTGTGTATGTAGTGCAAAGGGACATTACAGGGGCACTGTGTAACTTTTTGTTTGGGGGTCTGACATCTGCTGGTTTCTATGGATTCTGACCTGTAACTTGGTCTGGTTTGGTCTCCATGAAGATACAAAGGTTTAATACCACACTCTGACACATTCTAAACAAAGCAATAACATCTCCATGAAGAAAAGCATTTGACAGACCCTCCACCAGAAAAGTTACACAATTTAAGTACGTCTGCGTGAGAAGAGGAGGTTACATCAAACAAAGTATGCATTGTGTAAACTGTACAATACCTATTAACGATCCATTGAGAAAGAGAGCCACCCCGATGAGAGTGCCGATACAAAGTGCCAGGATAAAGGGCCGTCTCCTGCCCCACCTCAGGGTGCAGCGGTCACTGGCGGAGCCGATCAGAGGGGTGAACATGAGGCCCAAGACTGGACTCAAGAACCACGTAAGGCTGTAGTATTGTTCTGGAAGACCTGAAAACAAACACAGCAACAAATTTAGATTTATTATAGACAAAGAGACAGAGGAGCTCATTCTACAGCACTCAAACAGTGAGAGATACAAAATACAATCATACCATACTCCATACAACTGTACAACAACTCACCCTTACGTAACAGATAATACTCCCTACAACTGTCAGTAACTAACCCTATGTCAATCATATATCTTTATGTCAAACTGCTTTCCTTGTAAACTGCTTATTTTTACATATATTTATTCCTTATTTGACACCAGCCTCTTTGCTATTTTATTATTTATTCCATTTATTCTCTTATTATTATGTGACATTTATATGTGTCATAATTTGTTACAGTGTTTGGCCAAGTGTCAAGTTTGTCTAAGTCTAAGTGTCATTTATCTTTTATTCCCAGACAGGTTTTTACAGGTTTCCTCATTGTCACATAACTCTATAGCACATTTCAGCATAAAATTTCAAAGTTTCCAAAAATTATAACAGAGGGTATAAATGCTTAATTTCACCTTGCCATTCCTGAAACACTAAAACTAGTAAAGTTAAATAAAAGCAAACCCATAAAAAACAATAAATAAATAAAATCAACAATATAATATAAAAAACCCACAGAACTCCTGCAGTGTTAAAAGCCAGAGAGTAGAAGTGGATCTTAAAACGAGACTCAAAACACGCCACTATGGGGGCTGTTAAAATGATAATTACTATATCAACTTCATTCAGTATATTAAAAACTGGAACAATATATTTTGGGGCTCAATATTTATCCAGTTTCTTTGTAAAAGTGAGGAAATATGGGGTATTTTGTTTTGAGCTGTAGAAGGTTGAATAAGTGACTTTTATGGCTAATTATTGGTTATGTATCTGTTTCAGCTCATGCTTCTTAATGAGACTGTCTATTTTAAAATGGTTTACTGGGATTATGCATTGTTGTTATTGTGTCATTGTCATAAAGTAGTTATATTTATCTGTAGCCATATATCATGCTTCAAAACTTGTTATTGTGACAGGCCTACTCCCTGGTTTACTCCTGGGTTACTTTTTACCACTTTTAAAATTCTTCTGAGGTCACATCACACTAGTCAGATATGATAATGTACAAATGGTTTACAGATTTTGGAGACTCCGTGACTTAATAGGTCCATTAAGAAAATAACTAACACAGTAGCTCGACAATGTAAATATAATAACAATTCTCAACCACTAGGGGGAACCTGAGCCACTTTCACAATGCATGTTGTACTTTGTTATTGTTTACCTGTTTACCTGTGTGTTTGGAGAACTATCTGCATCAGGTTCATAAAAAACACTAATAGTAACAATATACTGAAATGCATTATTTTTTTTTGACATCAGTTACACAAAACATTAACCTTGCATTATGAACTTTAGGACCAAATGTTTTGTACTTATGTTTTGTTTTGCCAATAGCGAATGGGACTACAGATGAAAATTTGCCTGCATGGGTAATACATGTTGATTAAAGGTGCACTCTGTAACTTTTTGTTTCTGTAGATGCCATTGCTTTGCCTGGAATCTTTCACTGTAAACAGCTCTACTTTATATTTATTAAATTACAGGTGGTTTTACAGCTCAAAAATACCAAGAAAAACATCCATTCTGACTGTGAGTGTAACTTGGTCTGGTTCGGTCTCCATGAAGATAAAAAGGTTTAATTCATCACAGTGTGAAACATTCCAGACAAAGCAATAACATCTCCGTGAAGAAAAGCATTTGACAGGCCCTCCAGCAGAAAAGTTACCCAATGCACTTTTAATCTGCACTGTCCCATGCTTAATAAATAAACAAACACATCCACACCTGCCCTGATTCAAATCCAGAAAACTTTATTTGTCCCCGAGGGCATTTGTCACATCCATTCAACTCCATCAGATCACCTCAGAGACAGTAAAGGGAACACTGCCTGTAGACTGTTTGTTTAGACCGGATTACAACACAAAAGACCAAGACAGTGAATCGTCTGAGCTGGAGAAAGACTAGAAGACTCAGGAGATAGGGTTTCTTCACCATAGAAAGTAGGCTGTCTCACAGGAGCTTGTAGTTGAGTGGGTAAAAGGATAAACGCTATGCTTTTGTTAGTAAAAGACAAATAAACAATAGAAAATACAAAATCTCCAGTCATTACTGTCTATTCACTTTAGTACTTTTGACATGTGAGTGGTAAAAGCCTGCAAGTGCATTACAAGCTCTTACTCTAAGTGGCTATTCAAGATGTATAATAGACAACCAAATCTCACTATATTAACCAATGAGGCTAAATGTAATGGGAAAACTGCTTTGTGGATTGTAACTATTTCACAAGAGCATTTGGAAAGAACAGTATGTGAGGTGAATAGTAGAACAAAAGAAAAGTGCTCAGGCATGTTAAGACAAACAAATGAAAAGAAAAAAAAAAAGCTGTCAGTGCAATGAGCCTCTCAGATTTGTTTACTAGTATAGCAGTAGGCAGATATTATCGGCCGATATGGGTGTTTTGTACCTCGTTATAAAGCATATACTCTCTATACTATGTCTATTTAATCCCATTTACAGACAGATAAACGTCCTAATATATGGTATCGCATCAGTATTTATCGGGGGAGTAATTTGTCTGTGTGTGGGATGCCATACTGCACCTGAATGCACCCCAGAGTCACGTCACTCACATACTCTTGTTTACACCAGTGTACGTTCACCATTCACTCTGCAAAATTATTTTAATGTGTTTAAGAACAGTTATCTGTAGTTTAAGGCAATCTGTATTCTATAAGTAGAAATTACAGTATAGTCATTTCTCAAAAATGTTTCTCAAAAGTGTATTACATCTACAAACCTTCAACAAGCATAAAGCTACGCACGCCTTGAATGACCTTTAATGGTTTTTATGCTTCGGTGTCAAACAAAACTAAATGGGAGAGTCTGAGTCTGCGCAGCGTGAATCATGTGAACAGTATGTTACACGTCTGTCACGCCTGAAGATATACACCTGTAATTTTCCTAAACATGGGCCACTCCCAATTTCAGAGCCTCATTCTTTGCAACAGATGTTCAGGACATGACAAACAGGGAGTCAACAGGCGTATAAAACAAAAGGAACAGTAAGGGCATACGCATATTGCTTTGAGGGTAGGTGATACTTAAGATGCACATTTGTTTTGTTGTGAACTGATATTCGGACCTTGTACCTAGAGAGAAAAATCTACAACATTTGGAAAATTTTCGTTAATATTTGTTTGTATTACTCTGCAAATAAAATGATACAGGTGCAAATTGTGAGACTTTTGGCGATATGATATTACGATACTTTGGTTCTTGTGACATCCCTAATACAATTTACCTTAAGTAAGCAAATAGACAATTTAAGTAGCAAGAAAGAATGACAATTTAATCTACTAAGCCTTATCATTGCCCACTGACAAAGCCACTAAGCAGCATCTGGCACACAGTCCCAGCCAAGATGACAACAACAAAGTAATGCATTAAAAGTATTGATTCTACCTTGTTTTAATGGCATTTGAAACTTTTAGGGTATGTCTGCCAAAATGAGGTCACTCTTTAACATACTTTAAGTTAAATGGGTCAATACATGACATTTAGAGCTATGGGAAATGGCATGTTTGTGAAGAAATTGTCTCAAGGCTAAAACGTGCAGTGGCTTTAAGTGGGACAGAAAAGACAGTTGATTTGTATAGGGAGGAAGTTATATATTACCTTACACTGCTTATAGATAATAAAAACACGATCTATATCCACAGTGTGTCTTCAGCTAATTATACAAAGTTTTTTCAGGTCTTGTATTTCGTGGCCTCCTGCTCAGATCCGTTGACAGCTCTGAGCGCTCAGTTACTGAATGTGACCCAGGCTCGACTCTTCACCTGGGAAAGGCCAACGTGCTCATTTTACACAGGGGCCAGTGAAGAGGCTGGGATGTATCTTATGCAATGAAATCAGGTGTTCAATACAAAAAAACAGTCTGATACACAGTGTTTTATCTGAACACATTCATCGAACGATACAGTTCACATACATATATATTTTGGGAGAACGTGAAATGAACACACTGTATTACTGCATGATGAACGGACTGTGAACGTGTTCATTCTGGTGTCTGTGAACGGCATGTGCTTATATTTAACTTTGTTCAATAGGGTTCCAGATTTCTTTAGTGTTCCAGGCAAAAACCCGTAAAGAGCCCTTAATATTTAGCGGAAAAACATTCAGTCTGGCATGTCTCCTGCAGAAAGAGTCTTTTCAGTGTCTTGTAGGATTTCAGCAAATTTCAGGCTCTCTCGGGGGCTAGTCGTGTTGATCATGTATGAATGTACAGTATGTCTGGCTACTGAAGTTTGAACCAGTTCTTTTCGTCATTTATGCAGTCACCTACATTTAACGCACATGGGTTATTAAGACGTATCCCACTCACTAATGTTCATTCAGTGTGAACCCTGGTTTGATAAGGATTCAAAATTTAAAAAAAAGATGAAATCTAACACATAGTTTCATTGTTAAAACTGATAAAATAATTGCGGTCTGTGGTTCTAAATGGGTTTGGGCAATGATATTGAAAAATAATAGCTCGGAGCAACGTACTGAAAAACAAGTTCATTTTTGGACCTATGAACAAACTATTAACAATAAACAATAATGAGTTATGAATGGACTAGTTCATTTTGAAATGAGTGAACTGAACTAGTTCATGTAGGAAATGAACTTTCCCAACACAGTTAAAACATAAAAATACTGACAGATTTGTGTTGTTTAAAGGGAATATTACACAATTTTTTGATCTATGAGTTGGTGTTTGATCATTACAGAAACACCTGGAGTTGTGTTTTGTTTCATTCACACATGCATAATAGGCTTTAGGAGTTCCTCTCTCAAACTGAAAACACTCTGTTCTGTTTGTGATGTCATGAGGTAATACAGGAAGTGTTCTACTGTGTTTTTTTGAAGTTAAAAAAAAGAAAAGTACGAAAGTTGTTCTTTTATAGTAACGCA